TTGCGATAACTAAAAATGGCAAAAGATTTAAAATACGTCGTCTTAAGAAACCATCGTAAAATAGATACTTATGCAGTGTCTACTTGATTGATACATTCAAACTTATGTCCGACGGACGGCACAAATCATCAACTTACAAGTTCCCACTGCTAAGCAAAGGCATCTTTTCACATGGAAAAGGTTTGAGCATTAATCACCACGGTTTCTCAAGGCAGATTGGCGGTTTCATACTTATAAATATAAATAATAAGTACAGGTTTTCTCACGATGTTTTCCTTTACCTTATATCAATCAGTGGCGTCTAAATAATCATAGAAAGCACTTGTAACTCGGAAAATGTTAAATTGGTACTTGCCAGGTTTCGAACCCGTACCTAGGTACCTACCCTCATGCAGGAGAAGCAGCCGCCTTAACCTCCGTGTCTCCATTAATGGACAGACGGCAACTTGTCTTAATTATAGTCAAATTAAGAATGTTACCGTTTTTGAAAATTCAATAGAAAATATAATCATCGGTTCTGGTAAATATTACTACGGTAGTTTCAAACTAAGCAGTTAGTCAAATTCTTGTTTAAAATCGCAATAGGTATACGACGACGTAATATTTTGACGACAAATAGAATTACTATGTCTAAAAGAAATGCTGAAACAAAATTAATAACAACCCGCCAACATAACCCTGAAGGCATTATTAGATACTTATACTGAATACGTAGAGCATTGTAGAGTTATGTGTATCTATTGTAAATTAAGGCTTTAGGTACCTACGTTCTAAATAGAATAAAAAAGATTATTGACAGTTTACTTAACTACTTATTTATCTTTACATCTCTATCATCGCTTCTGAGATTGTAAGCTGTGATTTTGATAAAGGTTCATATCATACAGATTTTAGCTGATTTTAGCAAGATTTTAGGTTTAGGTACTTTTCTGTATAAAAAAAATAGTTCTTGTCTTGTATATTGTGTATTGTACTTTAAGATTCAAGAAGAATATGGAAGTTAGATTACCTTATATGTGTAGGTATATAATTTATATACTTAAGATTTTTTTAAAGGATTGCTTATAACCCATGTTTTTGGTTAGGTACGTTACTTAATAGGTTCATCAACAATTGTTTTCACTATTTCAATTATAAAGTAGGTACATGCTTAACAATAATTTTACAGAAGGTACCTATAACAATTAGGTACTTATCTAAAGGTGAACACCATTAGCCTAAATTAATATCAAACCAAAAGTGAAAGAGAAGCTAACTTACTCAGTTATAAGCACATAAGGGTTCAAACAAAATAAAATAGGGTAAACTTGCCTAATTCGTACCACTTAAGGAGAACCTCGAAAATTTTGAAAATGAACAATGTTACACAGTTATTTATATTAAGTAGTTATAATTAAACTAATGTTCTATTAGTATTCCGATAAAAAATTACATAAATATTATAAACTTCTGAGAAATAAACAATTTTCAAAAACTTAAAAAAAGTACGATTTAAGACCATTGGTCTTAAATCGTACCAGTATATTCTTAAATCGTACTTTGAGATCCTATCATTGTTTTACAGTCTTAAAAATCACAATCTTAATAATCTTCTACTCTTTTTAATCTTAATGCACCTAGATTACCTAATTCTTATTAATACAGCGGATGGTCTTTTTCAAATCTTGAAAGTCATCGCAGTAATAAAATTTAGTTTTTTTTAACTCGTCTTGCACATAGCTCATGTACGCATACTTCACAATTACTGCATAAAATAAATGTTTTTTTTTAATTTTATTAAATAAAAACACAAACTTAAAAATAATCAAGTAAGTAATTAATATTTACTGTGATATTAAACATTGTTTTCCTAAATCGTACGTACGTACGTTTTAAGAAGTTGCTGCGAGTACGAATTAGGCACAAGTATCAAATGAATTTGAAATTAGCCGCAAAAAAAACTGGCAACGAACAAGCCGGCTTTACCATGTGAAATATATTCACAAATATACGTATAAATATATAATAAACAGTTAAACAACTTATGAACGGTATACTTGGAAGACAGTTCTTGTGAAGTATGCAAAAAAATTACTCAAAAAGTGAGAAAAAGTGAGAAAAATCTTACCCGTTTAATATTTTTGTCGGGAGCAACGTAACAGGTGTTTATTTGTCATATGGCAATCTAGCCGACTATTATTGACATTTTATGCCATCAGAGGCGCTGGTAACTATTACTCATGCCGAGATATAGACGAGGTACGATTTAGGCGCAGGTACGAATTAAGCAAGTTTACCTATACAATTATAATTAAAAATTAACAAAGTGGATAGAACTTAAATCAACAAGAAATTACACATGACAACGATAGAAAACAACAACTAGCGGTCACCCGGCAAACGACCGAGAGTGGATACTACCTACAAGGTATTGTTAAGGAATTAATACTAAGTAGGTATATTAACTACTTATTAATACTAAACTTTAGATATTATTGTGAGAGTTGTGTACCTCGGCACATACCTGAGCTGCCATAATCCTCTGCCTCTCCTTGATGAGCCCACATTTAGGGCACTGGCAGAGCCGATAGGCACAAGCTTTCTTGTGACCTCGTAAGCTGGAGATCAGACCATGGTTTCGACAACGAGCGCACTTTGGGACCCTTGCACGGCCACTATTCATCATCACCAACGATCGTGTACACTTATCTAAGTACCTACTTAATTCAAAGAAAATTTTACTTTTTTTATGGCTTCTCAATTAGCGACGCAAAAATATAAAATGGATACTATTTTTTACAAAAATTACAACAAGGATATTTAGTTGATACTTAAAACAATCATTTAACACTGTTTCGCATAATTAACTGTACACGAAGCGCTAAGAAAGCCCGCCCGCCCATAATACACTCCGCCCTGAAACTAATATCGATATGAAAACTAGATGTTCGAGATGATAGATGAATGTAAAACTGGGAGGAGTAACAACTGCTGTATCTGAAAACAGGTTCTTGGGAAAATGAACTTCATTATCTAAGGGGTAAAAGTGAAGTTTCTGTTCCGCAGTGTATCGACGTCGCAACAACACGCTCATCCCGAACCGCCCTTCTCTCCAGACCGACGAATGGGAACACGCTCCCGTTAGGATTGGTTACAAACTTAGAAAAACAACGGAAGCTGATCCTTTATGATTGTGTTTCATTTAAACAAGCAACAGTATTCTGTTATACTGTGCAAACTTTCAGTTTTTTTGTTCAGTGAGAAACTACACAGATATGTAAGCAGGTAGGTATGTATAAGTATTCTGTATACGTACACTAGATATACCTAAGTAATATAATTTTTAGTATATTTATCAGTAATATCTCGATTTTGCTCTCTTCTTGCACCTACTGTTATCTCTGCATCGCCCAAAGGTACGACTGGGAGAGAATGCCTGTGGCATTAAGTCCACCTTGTACACAGACCTATGTGCAAAAGTCTAAATAAATAAATACTTAATTATAAATGACAACAATCCATATCACAAGGAAGTAAAATTAAGTTTTAACAAACCTTTAAATACCTAAATGTTACTGTCTAGGTAGGATATCTACCTTCCATTATTGAACATGGAAATAACAATCGTCATATCTATATTTGGTTTGATAGCCAGATCGGGCAAATTGACCAGAGAAGTAGGTAGGTATACTTAAATAACAAAGAAGGTACCTACTTATTAAACATTGGTTTTTTTGAATTTTCCTTTGTCGTGTAGGTAGATTGATTACAGTGACATGTCATAGGGCCAGTATACCTAATGATCATTTCATAGGGAGTGTTTTAGTAAGTAGTTCACCTATTCCATCATCAAGCTGTCATTTTCTCACACGAAGTAGGAATGAATATAGCTACTTGGTTAGGTAATTGCCATGCTTGTTCAAGGCAGGTTGGCGAACAATCTTATAAGTACCTACCTACCTAGGTAGGGAATGGTAATTTCGTAGGTAGGTACCTATCTTTAAGTTATGGTTTTAAATGTTGTCCTTTACGTTTAAAGATAGGTAAGTGGTGTCTAAATAATCTTAGTAAATATCTAGTGATATGTACCTAGGTAGAGTCTTAAAAGGTTTATAGGTACCTACACTTTTTTGTGAGAGCACATCATCATATTTCTATTACCTGCACAGATTAGGTGAACCTGTTACTCTAGCCCTGGGAGCGGTGAGAGGGAGCGTCAGTCACTTACTGACTAAAACCACCCCGTTGACAGTAAGAGGTGTAGTCTTGCTCTGGACCGAAGTTGCGGTGCCTCATTGCGCTTGCCCCGCAACCCTGGCTGAACATCAGCCCTATAGGACCCCGTCTGTGGTGGTCGGATGCACGAACGGCAAGCAAAGGTAGCTCGCCGCCCGACCAAACCAAGACCCGACCTTACGTACCATACGGCGCGTAGCGTTCCGCGCGCACCTTAAAAATTCAACAGACCACCACAGATGGGGCTCAGCAGGGCTTATACTCAGCCGGAGTTGCAAGGCAAGCCCCACAAAGTACAGCGTCCTCGCCCTGTAGCAGCAGAAGTAATGGGTAGTCAAAATAAAAGGCGAAGTAATCGCTACCCTTGCTACATCGGCCAATCCGAATTTCCTATTTTTTGATACATTGGTAAATGGATTAGAAATTGGATAATGAGAGAACAGAGCTTGAAATTGTATGCTCACCCATATCATAAGCATTTAATTTAATGTATGTAAATATTTATCTACCCTCTGAAAATATTGTAACTGTTATGGGTAAGTCATCTGCCACTCTGACCTTAGTGTTAATCTCTAGGTTTAGATAATGAACTCAAAGAAAGTTACGTTTTCATTATCATCAGAAGTAACAGGCAAATAACACTACCTCTTAATAAGTTCTAGCCTGGCACTATGAACTCTGAGTCATACACTAGTGTCAGAAATATGTGAACATTGTGTGACAACATAATCACTGCAATGTGGAATTTAATAAGGATAGCTAGTGTGGTTAATAAAATAAAATAGTACCTAATTCATCATCTTTATTTTTAATACAGTATATTGATATATACAGTTATTTGAGATATAAACATTAAATAGTGAATAATAGCGAAGCTTCTTACTTATTTAATGAGCTACATGTACATATATTAGGAAAGATTTTAAGATGCATAGGAGATATATTTAAAAAATATACTGTTATTCATTCAGTATTCATTCCTTAACATATTTGTGCCATCTGCTATTTACTTTGTTTCATAAGAAACAAAGAGTTATTATCATTTAGATTTCTTCTTCTCATGCTGTTTAGCAGCCTTCTTCTTCATAATCTGCAGCCTCTTATCTGCAGATATAATGTTGATGTTAGGAGTCACCACTTTTGAAGGAGATGATGAAGAAGAACTGCTTGAGGATATTTTAACTGGAGTCGAAGAACCAGATATGTTAGAAGGAGATTTGGGTGTTGCCTTGATGTAATTCCCAGTAATCCCTTGTGATGCTAAACAGGATGCACACTGCCATCCTGCTGCTATATCATTGTCACTAATTACTGGTTTGTGGCAATCCTGAAACAAGAGGAAATTATAGAAATAAATACTCTTTGTTGAAACACAAAATCAAATATTGAAAAGGAAAGTTATTTCCATATTTTTATATAAATTGCTGTAATATACAGCAATTCAGTGTTTAATTTTGACACTTTAGTACAGGCACAATTTGGTTCAACATTATCATATAATGTTTCAAAAAAGAAAAACAGCTTAATACTTAATAATGTCATTAAGTGGTCTTTAATTACCTGATGGTAGAGCGCGCAGCATACATCACATTCCACCAAGCGATTGCCGGCTTGAACTGAAATTTGCCTGCATACAGCACAAGTCAAATCTTCTTCTAATAGATCCAGAGATAATTCTCCATCCATAACAGATCCGTCATCATTTTCACGCTCAGGTATTTGTATTTGCTGTGGACTTTGTTGAGGCAGTGCCACAGTTTTGGTAGACGATGACTTTTCTGTCTTGTGCTTGGATCTTGGTGATTCTAATTTTTCTTCATTCAAGTATTTCTTCGGTAAAACGTTGCCGAGGGTTTTGGAACTTCCATACGTTTGACGAATATGGTCATCTAAAGTCAACCGCAGTTGTTCAGTGGAATCAGATGCACTTGAATGCAAATATTTTAAACACAACTTTATCGCAGGGTCAAAATCTATCGAAGACATTCTGCTTTTTACAAAAGTAACTTATAAATGTCTTAATCTCTTTAATGTTTAGCTTAGTAATATGAATAGAAGTATGTTATTATTAGAATTATACACCATTTCCAGCAATTTCAACAATCAAGATTTAATAAAATAATAATTACACATTCGACAACAGTTTAGCTCCCCTTGATTTGCATTTGACATATAAAAAGTTGAAGTTGACATTGACAGACAATTTATCAAGATAAAAAATTGAATGAAAACTACCGGATAAACCCCCTTTATTACTTTACTCTTTGGGTTATACCTTACCTACACACTCAGTGCATTCACGAAGAAGAAATAGAAACACAAACTTTAACCTATAAACTAGTATGGAAAGAGCAACAAAACTGTGATAGAAAACGAAAATAAAACATCTTTATAGAATTGAATTAATGAATTTGATCCTCAGACTATGAAATCCTAAAATATTTACTTTTAATATACCTAGATAAAAGTTTTATAGTTGTTAGCAAGTAACACCCCTCTCATCCTCTTGATACCCAAGCGAAAACCGGCACTCGCACGTGACGTCATAGCCCCATTGTGTTTGTGAATCATCCAACTGTCAAATCGAAAACTGCCAACTGCCAAGCTGCCAAAGTGACATTTATTTACATCAATTCAAATAGAATAGAATACCTTAGACTAGACTGAGCACAGTGGCGAAAAATTTAAATTATTTTTATTTTTGATAATCCTAGATAAAGATGAGTTTGCAGATAATAATTATAATAATGTTAAGTACTTGCAGCAGTTACTGTAACAGCGATTTATTAACAGGACCAGACCCTTGGAATTACGAAGTTGTGCAAAGACCAGATAAACAACAAGAAACTGATTTACCACCGGATCTGAGAACACCATTGAAAAAAGAAAGGCCTGCTGAATCAAAATTTGCCTATGGAGAATGGTGGTTTAAACGATTACTCGCTATTGTGCTGAAAAATGGACAATTCCAGGTTGAAACAACTTTACTATTACCTCTTCTTGTACAGTAAACACAAGTGCGACTTCTGGACAATAAAGCTTAGGGTTCGATTCCCAGATATCAAAAAGTAATATAACTGTCGAAAGTACTTTAAACAATTTGTTGCACACCTACCCAATTATTTTGAATAAATTGTTATGATCACTTTATTTCTTTTTATTTTATGTCTACATCACTTTATTTCTGTTTATAGTATTATTATTTCTACATGAATTACAGGAAAATGGAGAGGGCATTGTGGATATCTCTCTACAAATGAGATTCGAGCCTGATAGATGGCAAGTACTAGATGAGTACCTAAAATCAGAATCTCCCTTGTCTAATGATAAGTTTAGACGTTCAGTGGGATTTGTTGAAGATGCTATTTATAAGCCAACTATTACTGACAAAATTGTAATGGCATGGAGTGATTACATTCAAGTATATCTAATGGAATATAAGGTAAATTAGTCAAAATAAAAATGTTATTATGGCAGAAATAATTTCTCTATTCCTTTAATTCATCAAACCCCATGCGAATGCCAGGGTTTGTACACCTATTGTGTTTTGAATTACCATGATTTAAAGATTAACCATAAGTAAACTTTAATTTTCAAATTCAATATAAAACAAGACTTATGTGGAATTTAGTTGATTTAAAATTGACAGAGAAACTCAGTTCAAGATAGAAAAAAATATTTTTGCTAAGTATTCCATGATTTTATCGATGTAATACTTGAACTGTTTGGCCTCATTTGAGACCTTAACATAATCAATTAATAAACCATATAAATTTGATTTTTTCCAGACATATATTACTCTACTGTTGGGTCTTCTGGCTGCAGTTGGAGTAGTGATGTGGCTCTGGAAACATATGTCTCACAAACATGTTATCATCATTATATTAGCCTTTTTATATGTCTATGAAGTTTTTATATCTTATAAAGTAAGTATGTTTATCATACCTTTATCTAATTTAATTCATGATGTTCAATTTTGTTTTTTTGTTTTTGTTGTTCAATTTTGGTAAACACCAGATTGGTAGCTCGTTCAGCAGAGAAAACGCTATACATGGTGGGTCACTTATACTGATAAGTAACCAGCTCAAATTCAAAGATCGTAAAGATATAGTTAGTTACTCTGTTGAGCGTACTGTTGAAATAGCCTGTGTGGAATTGGAGCGGTTTATTGTATTAAGCGTGTATAGACCACCTTCTGGTTTGTATGACTGTTTTGAAACAGTAATGGATGAAGTTCTAAGTAAACTTACAAATTCAAAGAAATCCATCATTACATGTGGTGATTTTAATATAAATTTATTAGAAAAATGTAGTTTAAGCACAAAAATTGTAAGTTTATTTTCTTCATACAACCTTGCGAATTTGTTTCTGGAGCCAACTAGGATAACACCCACTAGTGCCACTTGCCTGGACAATATTTATACTGACATTGTGCTAGTTAACAAAGAAATAATTTCAGTACTTGATTCCGATCACTGTGGTCAGTTAATTTCTTTAACAAAAGAAATAAATATAGTATCAAAACAATTTATCACAGTTAATCCGAAGACTAAAAGACGCATTGAATTTTTCAAAGCTAAACTCAGCAACAAATTATAAGAATTCTAGCACTTTATATGATAAGTTTTTTAAAATGTACCTAACAGAGTTTAAGTCTACTTTTTCAGATAAAACTATACCAGCTAATAGCAATGCGTCTTTCGGTGATTGGGCAACCACTGGTATCTATAAGAGTAGAAAGCGCCTCTATGAGCTTTATAATGAGCGGACATATATTAACACTGTTGAATTCAGTGAATATGTAAAAAACTATTCTAAATTATTCAAAAAGGTTTGCTCTATTGCTAAATCATTATTCTTAAGCTCTAAGATAAAGAACAGTACCAATGTTATCAAAGACACTTGGAATATTATCAACAGTGAGGCAGGAAGGTCTAAAAAGAGAATAAATCAACATAGTCTTGTAATTAAAAAAGTCAAAAATCATTTATTTCAATTAGACCACAGTAGGCACTTTTGAACGTCAAGCAAGCAAAAAAGGAAAAAAAGTATATAACAAGAGCTTTAAAATTAAGCGTGTCAGTCTGTCCGTCTGTCCTCTAGTGAAGCTATTTGCTCGTTCCAAAGTGTAGATTCCTATGGAGAAGAACGAGCAAGAAACTCCATGGTTACTCTTTTTCAATCAGTTTTACAATACATTTCTTTGTTACATCATTTAGTCGGTTCTGATATGTGAGAACAATGTAACACTAATGTTCAGGTAAAAAGTACGAAAAAGAAGTGAACCTCAAGGACAACATAATTAGACAGCCTGGAGCTGACCAGTCCCCAATAGGCGGCGCCCGTTCACGAACATGACACGTACACCAGCACCGCCCAACTCAACCATATTATAGGGAATTGGGCGATCCAGTGCCCGTGCCACCGCCAATGAGACCTCTGAGTGAGCATGACAGCTCCCAGCCGACACAAGTACCTATATTCTACAAGTCTTACTTAATTATAATAGGTTACAGGGCACTCACATTTACAAAAACTTAGAAGATCATCAACAATTAACAACAATAATAATAATTAAAATCAAAAATTCCTCTAAACATCCTGTGGAGTAGGACCAGCTAGCCTCCAAGCATTTTTATCTTGTATATAATCATTTACTTTGTAGTATGCTAGTTTACATAAATGTTTCTTTATACATAATTTGAATTTGCTTTCATTTAGATTTTGAATTTCAACTGGGATTTTATTATAACATTTAACACAGAAACCCAGGAATGACTTATGCACTTTTGCCAATCTAAATAAAGGCTGACTCAATCTATTCCTAATTGATAATAAGTTAATAAAAGCGGATGTAGAAATTGCAACTGCTTTTGAAAATTTCTTTTCCGACATTCCTGTATCCACTACTAAGTCACTGAATTCATCTCCCACTGTTGCAGAGTCTTTACTCAAAAAACACGTTGTAGCTTGCGATTCAGGGTTTTCCTTCGAGCACATAGATAACAAGGAAATTGTTAAAATCTTTAATACTTTGAAAAACAAAAAGACTGCAGATCTATGGGGCAATTCTGTGTATATTACAAGCTCTGTAATAACTATTGTAGCACCTGTATTAGCTCAAATCTTTAATAACTGTATTGACTGTGGTGTGTTTCCTGATCTTATGAAATGTAGTAAAATAATTCCATTATTTAAATCAGGTAGTACTTCTGACCCCACTAACTTTAGACCTATTTCAGTGCTTCCTACGTTCAGTAAAATTTTTGAAAAAATTATTTTAGATCAAATGCAAAGATTTTTTAATAGAAATAAATTATTACATGCGAAACAGTTCGGATTTACAAGGGGTCGTTCAACAACTGATGCCGGTGTTGAACTTCTTAATCACATTTACGACGCATGGGAGGACTCAAGCGACGCTTTGGGAATATTTTGTGATTTATCCAAGGCGTTCGATTGTGTGCTTCATGATACACTGATCAGGAAGCTATCCCATTACGGAATAAGAGGTGCATCTCTGGACCTTCTTACCTCATACCTGAGTAATAGGGTTCAGAGAGTTGAAGTAAACGGAGTGGTTTCTGCCGGGTCTGTTGTGAAGATGGGTGTTCCGCAGGGTTCTATTCTCGGCCCGTTTTTATTTCTTATCTATATTAATGACTTGCCTTACCTTGTAAGGGATAAACACGAGATAGTGCTGTTTGCTGATGATACCTCACTATTATTCAAACTCAGACGACGACAATTAGTTATTGACAATGTAAACAGTGCTCTCTCAGAAATAGTTCACTGGTTTGGTGTTAATAACTTATTACTAAACGAAACTAAAACTAAATGTATTAAATTCACAACACCAAATGTTAAACAGGTAAAAACCAGTGTGCTTGTCAAGGGCGAGGAGTTGAGTCCTGTAGATACAACTGTCTTTTTAGGTATAACCCTGGACGCTAAGCTCCAGTGGGGCCCTCATATAGATGGCTTGTCGAAGAAGCTCAGTTCTGCAGCATATGCCGTTAAAAAAAATAGAAATTTAACAGATGTAGATACAGCGCGGTTAGTTTATTTTAGTTATTTCCACAGCATCATGTCATACGGTATTTTGTTGTGGGGGAATGCTGCTGACATTCAGTCTATTTTTGTTCTGCAGAAAAGGGCTATTCGATCAATCTATAATCTTAGTCCGAGGCATTCGCTCAGAGAATTATTTAAGGAAACTAAGATAATGACGGTTGCCTCACAATATATTTATGAAAATGTAATTCACGCTCATAAAAACAAAAGCTTATTTAAGAAGCACAGTGATATACATAATATTAACACGAGGGGGAAAAACAAATATGTTGTCCCTGCCTCCAGGCTTCAGAAAATAACTAGTTCGTTTAGATGTCAATGTATACGCTTTTACAATAAAATTCCTAGCGATATTCAAAATTTGAGCCTCAATAAATTTAAAAGTGTAATAAAGGCTAAACTTTGCTGTAAAGCATTTTATAAAATAAAAGACTACTTAGAGGATAGTCAGGCATGGGAATGAGCCGCTGTAATGTCTGCACAGGTCATGTTGACATGTTTGTAACATAAGTTACACTTTTATATACAATTTGACATTACGTTTATTTTTTATACAATGACATAATCACCTATTGTGACATTTTATTTTTTATTTGACATTTTTTTTTATTTATTTATTGACATTTTTATTATTTTATATTATTGTTAGTGTAAGGACCGTGTGAGACTTGCCGTGCTTTTTGATTACCAGTTATCTGCGTTCTGACAGTTTGAGTACTTGCGCGACCCACCCAAATGTTCTTTAGATCGGTATTGTTCGTCGGACAACTCAGCAGCACTAGCTATACTGGTTGCAAACTGACACTTGCGTGCCTGTCTTCAGAACGGGTCCACTTAAACTGGTGTGGTTCTTTCCTCAAAAGACCACTACAGAATGAACTTGCACGATTCTCTCACATTATGTTATTTTTACATTGTCTGGACTTGAAAAGAGACTGACCTCTGAGTTTGTTTCGGCATTTCTTCTCAGAGTAGTCAGATAGGAAATGCCGGCTTCATCTAGTTTTTCACATATAAATTGACGTGTAAAAGTGCCGTTTTATGGCCTATTTGCAAAAATAAATTCATTGTTTCATTGATAAACAATTTGAACTCATGATGTTGGAATTACAATAAAATTAAAATATTTGTTATTTCAGGAAGCTGAACAACAGGAGTATGAGAAATTTGTATCTGCTGTCAATACTTGCAAGTGGTACTTTTGGACCACAGAATGCACAGTTCCACCACCAGATCCACTATTGTTCATGAAACACATGAATCCACTAAAAATCGCAATCAGAATGTTTACATCCTTTATATCTGAACCTATTATTGCTATTAACTCCACCATAAAGATCATGCTCCATGGTGTTACAGGTATGAAAAACATACTTAAAAAGTTAGTAAATTTATTTACTTAATTTTTATTTCCTTTCCTAATTTTATATTTTTATTCCAGATGGACTAATGTTCCCGTTTGATAAAATAGTGTATGGATTTTCAATATTAGTTGTAAACATTTCATTAATATACCTTCTTGTGATGGTTGTGTTCAATTTTATATTCAATATTCCATTCAACTTAAACTTCCTTGGAGTTGTTAGTGTTGGTGTTAGACAAAATAGGAGATCATTATTTTCAACAAACAGAAATGAACAGGCAGAAATACGAATTAATGATGCAGACAGAATAAGTGGTGACAGATTAGACAGACTTTTAAATGTTTGCTCCCTTGCTCTGACAAATATAAATAATGTTCCAAATAGAGCCATATTAAATGCAACAAACAACAACGTTCCAATGTTACGAAGGTCAGCAAGCACTGGGCGTTTACCTAACTCTTCATCAGATACTAATGATCAACTGGCCATTAACAGCAACTTTAGAAGAAGAATAAATGTTGGCAGGGGTGATGGAGATCATTAAAAAAATTAAGGATACTTTTATACACATTATGTTTTTATATATCTAACAATTTAATAAGCTTATTTCTGTACATAGATTACGCTTGTGAATACAAATAATTGATAATAACTATAAATAAATGCATTTTATTTAATTAGTTATAAAAAACTGCAATTATTTGTATTTATTAATATTCTGTGATAATAAAATGTAACATTTTAAGGGTATTTCTTGTATAACAGGGAAATTTCATTTTCCATTGTAATGTTCTAGTCTAAACTACAATTTAGGTGACATATATTTGCATTTTCGTGTCATGGATGTAGCTAATATTTTATTTCAAATATCTTACTCAATATAGATTTCAATATCGAGTGTACAGTCATACACACAAAACAGACAGTACGAGAGTAAGTAATATATTCATTTTTTATACAGTAAATAGCCTTTATATACTTCCAATAATAAAATGTAATTGTATACTTAAAATGAAACTCAATCTACCTATTCTTTGCATGTGTTTAGTATATGAATGAATAATTTGTAGTGGTCTAGAATATTATTCTCCTGTCGAATTTATACTTTTTAAACGCCTGTATTAATAAGTCAATGTTCTAACGTTTTATATGTAATATGTAATATCGGTAAACCCTAAGTTGTGAAGAAAAATATTGTGGAAAAAGTATTGTTTTTTTTACATTTTTTATTGTTTTTATGTGTCGAATGAAATAAAACTAAACCATACTTTTCATTTTTTATTTCGTGATGCCTTAGTGAGAAGTGTTTCAAACAAGATAAATTTAAAATATTTTATTACATAATTGGGAACATATAAGCATAAATAATTATTTACGGTATTATGAAGATTAAGCAAATTCTAGTCTTGATTTTAAATAGACGCTTACACCTACACTGCTATTGGTCAACAAACATTCGCAACCTCTGTATACATAACATTGAAAAAATAAAACAATAATTATATACAACACAACTAGGTACAACATACGACCTCCATCAAGGCAGGTCAGATTGCAACATGGTCAACAATCTCTGAACCACCCTGAGCAAACTTTAACCATGATCAAACGAGGCGCCTCTACCAAACTACCCTATTAGTAATGCAACCAGGTAAATATTAATTAGGTAACTCTCATAGATGGACGACTAGAAAAAAATACTCTACTAATTTGTTTTTAATTAAGAAATCTTCAAATGTTTGTTCAAGTTATACAGCAGAACAAAAGCTTCAACTAAGTTATTATTAGTCGTTAATATTTCTAGTAAACTTGGATTTCTATACTTTTCTAGATATAAAACTGTTAGATTGCAAAATGATGCTGATAATGATAACTACTAACCTACTTCCTATATTATTATTGCCGTGTCATACATTGGGCACCATTTTCGAAGATATTAAGGAAAAGAGCAGAGAAGATAGTTATGCGATAATAAGAAACGGAATAGAAAGTTTGCAGTAAATATAATGTAGAAGTTGTATTTAAAAAACTTATTATACCTTATTACCTGATATTACGTCATCCTAATTTAAAGCGTGTGCTATTATTATATTATAATGAACTCTTTGATCATAAATTAACCATCGAGTCTTTCTAGGCAGTATCTACTGGATGAATCGACTCGCACATTAGACTCGTTCACTCAATGCACCTTTACCATATAAAACATTATTTTTGATTATACTTAATGTTGATCCTTCGTTGATTATAGAATTCCACTAAAATCTAGCTACCTGAACTACGATTCCTAGATCCATACTCGTGCTATTTATTAAAAGTTATTTTATATCGATAAGGGAGGACAAGATAATGTACCTATCAATTAGCCAGAATACAAATAGATACAGGGTTTAGACCGCTAACTGAGGGCGTTAAGACTTAATGCTGTGGCGACGAAGGACTTAGACTTTGACTTTGTACTGATAATGCGTTAAGCGACACGGAATAACCGTGGACATAGCCGAAACGCCACGTCATTACATTAATCGACTATTTATAAATTTGTTTGTGAATACTGGAAATATATGGATCATCTATAAATTCATATGGTCTCGTAGAGAGAAAGACAGATTGTTTAAACAGCATCAGCAAGTTATAAAAACAGAAACATGAAACAAAACAACAAAAGTTACAATCAAACCGACATAAATTGCTTTTAGTTTATGTAGTTTGTTAGTAGGTAATATTTATGCCATACCTATCACTGGAATTTGGATAATGCAGAGTAAAATAAAGTAGCAAGACGTTATTGGTGAAAATTAGACATATTATGTAGAATATATATAAAATATGTGTTAAGAAATAAGGATAGACGAAAATACGAAGAGTATAAAAGATAGAATACAACTACTACACTGTTAACTTACGTCAATCAACATGAAACAACTTTGGTCCAGCTATAACAATTCAGTGTTTAACAATTTTATCTCTATAAATACAATATTTTATAGATTCTGCCAATAAGCAAATATTCATAATTAAAACGTGCAAATACATTATCAACTTATGTGCATAGTATTGAAATGTCTTTGAAAATTATTATATTAAACAGAATATTAATATTAATTACAAATTTAAATAGTACTGATATCGAAACAATCACGTCTGCCGAACAACTTATCGTAATGGTTAAATAACAATTTTTACAGTTTTAAAATAATACATATTTAAAAGTAAATGAATAACATTTGACTTGACAAATAAACTAAATGGCCTATTACCAATATGTATATGACATGACTGTAAGCCTAAGCACAGAGCTACACCTCAAATTCCCTTTTTGTTGTATTGAAAGCTGGTTTTGAAGCCACCAAACGATAAGCATCAGCTAGAATCGTTTATCGAGTCGGTTGTAAAAAATATAGTATCTGTATGGCGGTTTAAATATTAGTGAAATAATAAAAAAACATTTCTTCATAGTTTTCCGCTTAATGATTTGGCGCCAATAGTATTAAGTACACTGTTCATCATCGACGCATGTCAGAATTATTTTGTAACATTTTATATATTTTCCGTTCTCAAACTAAGTAGGTCCTACATGTGATCATTACCCTGAAGTATTCTACTGTTTATAAACTGATTAATACCAAAAATGGAATTAAAGTCTGGCTTTACTCAGGTTTCAGTCATACCAGCCCAGGCATTAGCCACATAACACTTCATAATTATGCATACAGAATATTTTAAAATATATTCAATTTGTACAGTGATAATCGACTAAATACTTATATTCCATGGACAAATCTAATAACTGGATATGTGAGTGATATTAAATAAAGTGCATTATATAACTAGCGACAGCTACATTTAAATGTAAATCCTAGATAAAAGTTTAACTATGAACAATTTAAAAACAAATTTCAAACCTAAAATCGATAATGTCATCGCGAGATCATTATTCCTGGATACTACAGTACCTACCTAAGTATATATTGTCGAATATTTTTAATACACTGCTTAATATTATTAGTAATATTTAATCATAGTCCTGTCATAGTTGAACATGTGTTTCATTCTACGCAAATAAGATTATTTCTATTAGCATACCCAGAACACTAAGTACCTACCTCAGCTCTAATAAATGTTCAATGGTTGACTTGACTGGTGTGTTTTAATATGCAAGTGCAACTGAGCTTTTCCTATTTTTAAAACAAATAACATAGGTCGCCGTGACTTATGCTTAATAATATATTGACAGGTGTTGTATATTCCACCTCTTATAATCTCTGATGAAAATACAGAGTGTGTTTATTATGTTATTGTACTTTAAATTACATATCTGAATAGGCTAAACGTGATTACGGGGCTGGTTATAAGAGCTCTGTCTCTATTTCATTAGACAAACATTGTCATGAGATGTTGTCCCCCCAACAAAATGGTTAGGTACAAATTGACAAAATCACCTTATCATCCAATAGTGGCTAGTTTATTTTCTTTCAACTACCTTTATACTATAACTCTTTAATTTTTATTTTAAAAGTAACATCAGGTCATTGTTTTGTTGTCTCTCCCTAAACATCGCTTGGTTGCCATAGACACCCGGGGTGTCTCAAGAAATATATTAATGGTCGAAAGACCGTGGTGTAATTGCTATCCCAATGAAATAGAGCCCACTACCAATGTTTCAACTTTCACCACCTAAGTGTTATGACACAACTACTTCTAGCGGTTTTCCTAAGGTAAAGTCAAGTACAGAATGGAGTGGTACAGTACAATCAAAGTTGCACCATTTCAGTAATATTGAAAATATAAAAATGCCTACAATCAATATTGCAATTATGCATTTATGCATACCACACTCTGTCCTTGATGACAATTTTTGTACAGAAATCTACTATTTGGCACTGACATAACTTCTCTTAATGACATTACCCATCTTTTATTCATACATTTCATTTTATAAGTCACCATATAATTTTGAGACAAATAAACTTATAAAACAAATTGTAAATTACACAGAAACCTGTTTTATGGTCCTTACATTGTATATGGAATGTTATAAAAAAATGTTTGTACATAATAATATAACTATGCTTAAGTAACACAATGCTTGTCATAATATTACAGTGTTTCATAGGCAATGTTGTTTTATATAACAGCTCAGTATGTATAATTCAATAACAGTAAGTCCTAAAAGACTTAATTTCGTTGTATTTTCACACTAACAATATATGGAATATTTCTCCCCTCTTTGTCATGTCAGTCATTATTAAATTATTAATAACTAACAATTAGCAAAATATGTAGGTTTTCAATGACTTCTAAGCTCCGTCACAATGGGAATTAATTTTATTAAAAAGGCATTGTAATTATTATTCTACTTGTTGCTTTTAAATGCAATATGGGCAATACTTAAATCTAGCTTTGGTAAATAATGTGGTTGGGTCATGGATTTAATGACTAGGATTAAAATGACTAGGAATTATTGTTATACAATTGGTGGGATTAGATAATATTGGGAGTTGTTTTAAAATTTACATGATCCGGCACTTCTCTCTTCCACTTGCAGAGGCTTCTCCACCATCTTTGGTTGCCTTGTCTTTCTTTTTCTTGCCTTTCCCATCAACTTGAAGTGATACATTTCTGTTCTTTTCCATGTTCAAAAGTTCCTGGAGGTAGAATTCAAGTATTTTTAATATAAAAATAGTATCTGTTTATGTATCAATAATATATTCATAATATTGCCAATATTTTCTTTAAGTAATCATTTATCCAATCGGATATTTTATTATGGTAATGAATAACATACCATCAATATAAAAAAGTAATATTTACCTGAAAAAGTTGGGTAACATTATGGTTTGTTTTAGCTGAAGTTTCCATGAATGAAATGCCCCAAGTTTGTGCTTGGGCCTGTCCTTCTGATGCAGATACTTCTCTTATCTCTGGACTCTCATCACATTTATTACCTGCCAGCATGACAGGAATATTTGGAAGCTCTGTGCCCTTTATTTCTTTTATGGTTTGCCATATTGGCTTGAGTTCCTCTAGTGACTGCCGACTGCTCACTGAATAAACCAATATAAATGCATGTCCCTGTAAAAATTAAAAAGACAAAAATATATATTATGAATATCAATCAAAAAATTTAGAGTATAATTATAATAATTCCAATATTAAACAAATGTTTCCTCACCTTGCTGATTGATAATCTTTGCATGGCAGGGAACTGATGTGATCCTGTTGTATCAGTTATTTGTAATGTGCATATTGTCTTGTTGCTGCTTATTACCTAAAAATAAAAGGATAAATAATCCATTATACTGCAAAGAATAAGTCAATCACTTGAAGGTTTCAAATTTTAATAGTAAGTGTAATGTTTTTGAAGTGAAGCTGAATCTGTAGTGTAAAGCATGAAAAAAAATAGTTTTCTTAATTTGAAAATAGATTGTAGCAGACATGGTCAGCAGACAGCCTAAGGAGGGTCAGTGGGTAGCCTTAGGGGCGGATCTAAGGGGTAATGGGCATACAACCATTGGCAATATCCCAAAAACGTTTGTTGCAGGACTTGGCAAAATATCAATTGTGTCAAGGTATTCCAAACACAGCCTTTTCAAAAATTATAGGTCAAGTTATGGAATTTCTTCATTAATACTCTACAAACACACAATAATAATTTACAGAATATAAAATAATACCAACTTCTTTTGGGTCTAAACAAATCTTATTTTAAATGAACAAATCGTGGGATCAAAACATAATAAAATGGGACGTAAATAATGTTACCTGTCTATAAGTATCCTCAATCGTTGGTATATAGGATTCTCTGAACGTCCCTTTTACAAAACGTAAAACAAGTGAACTTTTGCCAACACCACCCGCACCAAAAACTACAACACGATAATCATTACTTTGCTCCGGCATTACTTAATTTTAGCAGTAGATATCCTTTAGAACCAATAATTTGAAATGCCAGTTACTGATTACAGTGCTGTAATAACTTCAAAACATCTTATATACAACAACAATTATAAAGTTATTAATTATTATGTCCAGCATGTAATAATATTTTCTCCCATACTAATTTCCCATCTTTTCATAGATTTTTTACAATGCTTTTAATTTACAACGCCCCACTGCAAAAAGAAGCAAGCAAACCAATACAAATTCTATAGACACTTATTGCCCACAGATACAACTGCAATATTTGACAGATGAAAAGAGTTGACAGATAATACAAACGCTGCACAGATAGACGCAGTGTCACGAAATCGACTACTTTATTTATTTGATATATGCATTTGTTTAATCTCATAGGAACGTTATTTATTAAATTATATAACGTATTTATAAATTTATAAAATCGTGAAATGATATTATTATAGTGTACTCATCGCATCCGTTGAATAAAATAAAAAACACTTGATTTTCTCTAGTTCTATAAGAGACTCACTGTCCAATTGCGCATGGAGCTGTGAGTAAGCTCATTGTACACTCGGCGCGAAAACCCTTTAATATATACTTTGCCTGATAGTCCATAATTTTACAAAGTTTCTTTCCAAAACCTAATCAACCCAGCTATGCTTAGGAGCAATTTTTAATAATTCCAGCTGTTAGTCGATTATAAATCACATTTATTTATTTTAAGTTTGCTGGCTCGAATAATAAAAGGGTAAAGTGTGACATTCATAAAAAAAAATTACAAATGGCTTCCGTTTTTAACTTACGCCTATCGTAATCCTATGTTGGTATGGTTTTCTAAAAAGGTAAGGCTACTTTTTCTGTATCCTAGTTTTTCTTTAGTTTCAATTGTAGATGAATATTTTCCCCCAAAATTATATTCAAACTTAATAAACTTGACCTTCGTTAACTACGTGCCGGCAACTTTCCTCTCTCGGTATTTTATGTTCATTTGAGGCTTATTAATTCATAATAACATTGATTTATGTCTAAATATCGAACTCGTGTTATTGCTGTGCCAATATTTCGTGAAAATATGTGTCATGTCACTTGCAAACTTGTGAAAACTATCGACCTACTACTAGTTACCGTCATTATTATTTTTTCTCTTTCAGGCTACTAATTCATCGTGACGAACGTATTCGATCAATAATTTCATCTTTTATTTCAAACTATGGGTATACAAGATCTTCAAACGTTTTTGGAAAACGAAGGTGTTGGAGTTGATTTATTTCGAATTGCTAGAAACCATGCCGGCGGGTTCCGCTTAGTTCTCGACGCGGAAGGATGTCTAGATCGTCTTTATGGAGGATATTTTTCAGGTATTGTTTTAGTAATATTAATTTTATTGTATGCTCCAATTTTTTTTTATTCTGGTATCCAAAATAAACATTCCACTTCTTAATCATTTGCAGTTGTATCTCCACTGTTATCATAATAATTCCAACTGCATGGGGTTGCTAATAAAGATTCCACATATAATACTATATGGTTTTGCAGATTGGGCCTGTGGAGGCCAATGGGCTCGCTGTGTGCAATTTTTAACCACACTTGCACAGGCACTTGCTGAACATCAAGTTGCCCTATGTGTATGTTTCAATGGTGCTCATCCTACTCCACCTGCATTGCCACAACATTGGATACAAACGCAAGCCACATATCGCCAAAGAGTGAACTCAGTAAGTATTTTCATCACAATTTGTCTTTTCAACTTAACTTACTGGAATTAATGTATATTAAAATTTCACATAAATACTTAGAGATGTGTCAATATTTGGGTTTGATTTTTTTTCTACAATGCAAGGAACATGTAACGTTCAAAAAATACTTGATGGTGTAGGTCATATCCTCTGCCCCAGATTTCCCATGGTGTCATCAAATTTTTCTTATAACTAAACAATTTGTTGTCTTTTCATTACTGTTGATTCTGGGTGTATCATTCTCATACATACCAAATCAGTTTCAGTAAAACTAAGAAACCAACTTTCAAAAATATATAGTTAAAAAAGTTGGTTAAAAACTTAATAATTATAATTAACATAGGTTTTCATTTGTTTTGAACTCATTCTGAGTAGTTTTGATATTGAGATAGATTCATGATAGCAAAAGTCCATGAGTGGTTTTTGGTTGCTATTAAAAATGAAAAATTCTGTATCCTTAGAGTGATAAATATAAAATGGATGAAAAGCCCTTGCTGCTGGCGCCTTCTCATAAAATTAATTATATCAGTGCAACAATATTCTGAAATGTCACAGGTGCTGCGTCACATTGCTACAAAGGGCACTCCTCCTCCAAAAGTATGGTGGGTTCCACCCATGGGACTACATTCCTGCCTCAGAACTGCACTAAGATATCTTAATATCCCAATAGTAAGTACTCTGTATATCTATACTTTATTTCAACTATATATTAAATTTTAGTATTGAATTTATAAATCTACTAATATTTGCTCAAAAGTTATGGATGCTTATTACTTCTTCACTTAACTGAATCAATTTTGGCATAGGGATAGATTGATCATAAAAAAAATTCCCCTATTAGGATTTTCTCCTGTGTTGTGAGTGTGTTTCAAAAGGTACAATTTCTAATATGTATCACATCAGACCTAGAACAACAATTTGTGGATCACTCAAAGAGTTGTTCCGTGTGGTAGAATTGAACCTGTGATGCGTTGCACGGCTGCCAGTCACCCAGCCACTGCAACAACCGTGCAGTCGTGATTTATAGTCTGGAATAACCCATAGGCTACCTGTTACCCTGGTAAAGGGTTGAAGTTGCTGGCAGAAATTGGTATTTAATGACATATTTGGCATATGAGTAATACAACTCAATAATTAGTCCCAAAATCAATTATTTAAGCATAACATAATTGAAGCAAGCCACATTGCCTTGGTGATGCCTCGTCTAATAATTTTATAATTATTCTTATTTAATAGATGGTGTCTTCTGATGACCATTGCCAAGAGGTAGTTGGTCTTTGTAGAGAGAAAACTTATGCTGGACTTGTTGGATGCTCTGGAGAATATTTAGTCTTTCAACCACCAAGATACTTTAGCTCATCACAGCTGAAACTTACATATAGGGTAAGTTCTACTTTTAATGGTATGTGTATAAACTAATCAGATATGATCAGTATCTATGTAAGTTAGTAATATTGTAATTTTTTTAATCAGAGTATTTAGTTCTCATTTAGCAATATTTTGATTTATGTGTTTTCTGTAAGTACATTACATAATTAGTATTTCAATAAAAATATTCAACAAATAAATCCAGTGCTATTAGAGCACAAAAGAATACCTTTGAGCTGGGAACAGTGTTTAATCTCACATATTATTATACTGCTAGTTTGAATATACCTTTTATCATTTTAATTCAATATTTTATTCAATTAAGTTTTGATTAAGCTAATGAAACAATGAATTTATTTTTGTAAATAGGCCATAAAACAGCACTTTACACATCAAAATTATATGCAAAAAAAAACTAGATGAAGCCATATGTGTAAAATGTATGAATGTATGTATAAAATAAGCTTCCAATTAGAATAACTGGACAAAATCCATAAACTTGTGCATGTAGCACAAATTAACTTCCAAATGGGATTCATGCCATGGAAAACCTTTCATTGTGCATAATAGTCAAGACTAGATGATTTATTGTGTTCAACTTTCAAACCTTATACCTTATACATGTCAGTTTTATAATTAATGTCGTGTATTAACAGTCATCATTGGAGACAAAAGAGTACATGGTGCATGAGCTACCGCAAGTATTAGATGTGCCACAAGATCGACTGTGCCTTATGGCAGCTTTACTTGGTGGTACTATTCTATCAGAGCAAAGCCTTGTCGATTTTTATAAGCGGTTGGGAATCACGCAAAAGAAGGTACGTGTATAATACTAAAATACTTGTCTTGTGTGTTTTTATATCGGATCTAGCTTATTTATAAATGAATAACACTAAAACTGATTCACTGTCAAAATTTTCCAGCAAGTTCCTCCAGAAGCTTTGGTGAAAGCCATTTGTCAATATGTGCGAGAATTACCATCCTCGGATATCGATGCTGCATGCATTGATGTCTTTGGTGACCTAAATGATCTCCGAGCTGCCAAATTGAAGCAAGCTGTACAGTATTATTTGAATGGGACTAAAGATGGATTTTTAAAATACAGAACTGCGTCTGGTAATTTTGTTTACAAAATCAATATTCTAACAATATGTTATAGTAAAACATAGAAAAATAACAATGGTCTCCTCATGTATATGTTTTAGGTCGTCGACCAAAGAATAACAAAAAAAATCAAAAGTCTGATATAAGTCCACAATCGACTTCTTTAGACTTGGACACTTCTAAACTGGCTGCTGAATCATCTGAGCATGAGGTTTTTAAATATTTTTTTACTAAGTAAAAATCGCTATAGTCATCCACGCCTTTTACACCGTCATTAACACCATTGGCATCCATTGGCAAATTGACAGATTGCATGATCACTAGTTCTAAATTTAAAACTATTGTCTAAGTGCAAGTGACCTTTTTAATTTTTTTTTAATTCCCCACCTTTTTTGTCTTATTTCATCCTTATGTTATTTACACTAAGCACTTAAGATAGTAAAAAAAAACTGCAAACTCAATAAATTGCAGCAAAAAGGCTTGGACGACTACAAATTGGCAACAGCAAATGCATCAATTAACGCCGACTTTAGCATGGAAGAAAGGCCCTCTGACATACAGCATGGACTTGCGGCTGTCTCTCTGGATTCCGGCGACACGGGTGCAGCCAAGCAGCAAACTATCAATCCAGCTGATAAAAATGAAAAACCACAATCTGCTCCTAAAGAGGTCTGAAAAATGTTTGTGTGTACTTGATGAGTTTAGGTTTAAAAACTGATGACGGATTCCCTATTTACATATTGCGAGTGTTTTAGAGTTTAATATGCGTCTAAACAGGCAAAAAATATTTGATTCTGCAATATACGGCTGCAACACAATAGTCGGCTATGTTCGGTCTAACATGCCAATCGGCAATATGGCCAATATGGGTTACCACGCAATCACTAAATAGGTAACCGATATACGAATATTACAATATTACCCAGCTTTATTTTTGTCACCCATAATTGTTTACATTGCAAAGTGGCACAGTGTTTTATTTCAAAAAGTAAATCGCTGATTTCTCGTTTCTACGAGGTCTAGAGCAGTCACAAAGAATTCGTAACATGTATCTGATTCATTAATAATCGGGAAGGGAGGTGTACAACTTTTTAGCTTACCAGATGGTGCTACTTTGAGTCACTCTAATGGTGTCACCACTACAATGATGGTATGACGCTTGCTAATTCATTAATTTATATTTCCAAAAATTGTCAATACAGTAATTGGATAGACTGGCCTGTTGCTATTTTGAACCTTCTGCTTGGTAGCCAGGCATTAGTTGTCAATAGTACAGTTGTATGTACCAGAAAAAAAATATTTTAAATGTTTAGAAGCACTTTGCAAATAATTTAAGACTGACTGATCTAATACACTTCGAAATTATTGTATATGAATATTCGACGCTTAATATAGCATTATGCATAATTATCAATGTATATTTTAGGTTCGTCCTAATATAAAGCAAGTCCATAATGAAGACAATTGTCCTCCGGCCCCTGCTGAAGTGCTACGTACATGTGCCGAGCGACATGCACGCGGCCTTATGCATCCTCAAATGTTATCGATCTTGACACACCGTCAAGTAACTTTACCTGTACTGATGGAGGACGACAATCACCGCGAAATACCCTCCATACATCACTTCTTTAGACCTGTTAGACAAAACGTATACGCCATTTTGTATAACATGCACCACCACCGATTTATGGCGCAAAAAGCCAAAGGTATTTTTTCTTTACAAATATCTACTTAATAAACATTCGTAAAACTTGCGTAAGTACCTTAATTACCTATGTAATTTTTGTAGAGGAAGGCTCGACAAGTTCTGTGAATAATGATCGCCCTTGCACTGTACAAGTTGCCGAGTGGATCTATTCTCGGGTAAATCCTGGAAAAAGCCCTGAAGTTGTGCCCGGAGTTGTTCTAGATTGGCCTGTACCAACTGTGCAACGGCTTTGGTTCGGGTGAGCTTTACCTTTTAGGTAGTTCTCTGTTATTTCTTCTCATTTATCAATTGGAAAATGGCGATGTGCGTTAATGTAAATTATAGTAATTTAGACAGATTATTTAAATATTCCAATTACAAAACAAGCAATAAAAAAATAATATTTCTATTTTGTTCCAGAACTGCCCAAGATGACAAATGTCGTCGTATGAGAGCATTCCTGTCGTGCATGCGCTCTGATACTCCTTTGATGTTAAATACATCTTATGTTCCCCAACATTTGCTGATTTTGGCCACAGTGTTGAGGTAAAATAAATGTCGTCATGCTTCTTGTTTAAATTAGTTCTTGACTGTTCCTGCCGTTTACGTTTTACCCCGTAGACGCCACAATGAGCACAGAGACTTTAAACAAGACACCCTACTTTTGTAGGATTTTTAAACGAAGACAATTTTTTTCTTGTTCGCTTTTCGAAATTTGCTTTAACATTCGTTCATTACTAATCAATTTGGAAATTATTGAACGAACATTAGTTCAATAACTATGAAGAATCAGCGGCGCCCATGGACACTACTATCGATTGGGTAAAACCAAAAGTTAATGGTTTGATATTTTATATTTTATGTGTTAGTATGTGAATGTTTATTTTGTAATGTATATGCATGTTGATTTTGTTACACTTTCCAGATTTATTATGACATCTCAAATTCAAATATTGAGGCGACAGGAGCTAGATGCATTTTTGGCCACAGCCTTTTCGAATGATCTCATGAATGCACTTCATTTGCAAGAAATGACCGTAAGTGTGAAAAGTGTCAGTAACGTCATTCTATAATTTTGTACGTTTTTTCATCATTGTAATGTGAAATCAACAATATAATTATTTTTTAGGTAAATGGTATAAACTCCCGTGGGGTTCAACTGGGCGCGCTGGTGATGGCGGGAGCGGAAGCTGCTTTGCTGGCCAACGACGCATGCGGTGCCCCTGTGCCCTGGCTAGTCGCTGCGCCCTGGCTCTACTTTGATGGCAAATTGCTGCAACGCAATCTGCACCGCGCTAACCACTGCAAACATCTTGCTCAGCTGTGCGATAACCATTTGGATACGGTGGTCAAGGTGAGAGCACAAGTATTGTTAATGAAACCATAAGAACTATACAAAACTACTATGGCTTAAACTTTGCTAATTTCGACGTACCTTTTTATCTTCTCTTCTCTACTGTGTATATACCTATACACATACATAAAATACATCACTATGTTTATAAACTTTGAGATTTTATCACAATTTATAGATGAAGTTCTTTTTTTTAAACTGGTGAAATGTGTCTCTTAAACAATATGCATATAGCAAAATTTAGACAATTAAAGTCACAACAAAGTACAAGAACTTTTGTATTATGTTTTATATTACGTGCTGCTACGCAAACATTCAAGGATACATTGTCATAGAGAACACTAGCACTTGTCCGCATTTTTGTATAAGTAATGTTTCAATAGGTGGAGCGTATGCGCAAAGCGATCTTGGAAGGGCTGGAGGTGGAGTTTGCGATGCCACCGCTACCACTAGTGGCGGGCGTCGTCGGAGGCTCGCTGGGTGGCCAACTAGGCGGCTGGCCGCGCGGACGAGGACGCGGCGCGCGACTTGAGATTGCTGGGGTTGTCGTGGGCCAGTGGGGCGGTGGTAGCTACCCAACGCGCACTACTCGCTACCCACAAGTAAGTCAATGTACATATTTTAATTTAATAAATACCTTCACTAGAAGACAGGCGTAGGCGGACTGACGGACACGTATAAAGTTGAACCTTTTGACTTTTTTTTTTAGTAGAGTATAACTATCCTTCACCTGCGCAGAAGTGATTTATTGGGTCCCTTAAGTGGTATGAAGTGAGGCGCGGGGGTCGCGGGGGCGGCGTAAAGTGCAGTGATTGGCCCGCAGCGCATCGCGTCATAGCCGTCACTCGGGATTGGTTCTATGCTGTAGTTGCACTTACCTCACGACGCGAGTACACTTCCGGCCAATTTAATTAACACCAAGTTTTAAACTTATATTTTAAATTAGAAACACTTTTGATTAACTACTTCCATCTGAATTTCCATTTCTCAATTAATTAAATCATTATAAAATCGTCATAAGTGTACGATGCGCAAAGCGATCCCCACTCTTCCGCCGAGCGCTCAAGATCCGTGCCGGTATCTGTATGCATTTTTGAAATGTATCTTAACCGATTCATGGCCAATGACTCAACAGGTTGAGTCATTAAAAAACCTTTACGAAGGCCTATGGCTCAATTGGTGAGTCAAACCAAAATTGTATAAAATGGGATATTTAAAAAAAATATCACTTAAACTACCATTTTTCAGATGTCATTAAACATTTCCGTGAATATCAGACCTGGCCCTTCATTTTACAGAATATTTTAATAGTCAGGTGTCATAAACCTATTGTTAGCCGATAGCCGAGGCGGCCGATTCATGGCCAATGACTCAATAGTTGAGTCAAACGTATGCCGACACGTTATGGGCCGAAATGTTATGTGCACATGGGTTAAGTTAAATCTATCTACTTCGGTTTTTATACATTCTATCTACTTCGATTTTTATACATACTATCTGCATATTTTTGTACAGGTATTTCTCTAATAAGATAATACATAATTGGTTTCTCATAACACTCTAAACGTTTATCTGCTGGAACACTTCTCAACCTAAAAGCAAGCATTATGCCTAAATCATACTCAAATTGAGCATAAATTGGAGGCAACTCATCATGTGTATTCAATTCTGCTATCAAATCCTTAGAGAATAATGCATTAAAATATTTTTTTGCTGCACAGCAAGCATGTTCTGTTTTTTTTTTTATTATAAAGATATCATTATTCATTTTATTTTCATTCATATGAAAACTATTTTTTTTTTTCTTATTAATTTTGAACTCTGATGAAGACGAAGATATTCTTCGTCTTCATCAGAGTCCAAAATTTCTTCAATGCTAGTATCTAAACTGTTGTTAGAAACGACATTGCAACTATTACGAGATTCAGTGAATGGACGCTTCTTTGGCATACTTTTTTGTAAAATCGATTAACTAAAGCTTGGAAAATCTTGATTTTCCTTATCTTCATTTTGTTGATCATGGAAATCGGTAAACATTGCCTGGCTACTTTCAGTAAAATTGTCGTAGTCTTGATTATTTACAAATAATATTACAATAATAAATAATGATTGAATACATGTAGGAAAGGTTATTAATATGTTTACTACCTCTGCAATATTTCATTAAAATCAAAAAATACTACCTTGAAACGCCATATTCACTTTTAAGATCCACAAATTCGAATAGGAGAAAACAGTAACACGTTTCTGGTGGTGAGACTGGCTTGAATGATGGCGAAAAGCATTAAATCATTACAAGGAGCCAATGACTCATCAGTTGAGTCATCAATCAGGGAGGCCGATGACTCAAATGTTGAGCCACCGACCAATGAATGGGGCCTGGCTGAAATGTTCACGAAAATGAAGGTGGCAATGAATCGGTTAAATAAATTCTTTAGAGCAATATACTGTAAAAAGAAAAATCTCACGTTAGGTACGAACATAAAATTGTTTTATCGTAATTTCAAATTTCGCGCGTATTTCGGCAACACAGCGGATGCCATGATTGGTTTTTGATCATGATGTCATTATATGAGTAAACTACAGCTGTCAGTTATACATATTTTGAGAGCTAACTATTTTTTTACTACCGACAGAAAAACCTAAACAATTAACCTAAACCGTGCATTCTAAACACTTTACTGCAATAAAATAATTGCTGTTAAGTGTTTAGGTTTTTCTGCCTTTGAACACTACGAAATTTCGCCGCCATGCTCATGACGTCATTACTATAGTAAAAAATAGAGTCAGCTCTCATCTCATGAAGTGAAACTAACATTTCCCGATTGCTTTTCTTCTAAACAATCATTGTAATATAATTTTCAAATTACATTCAAATACCCTGTTATAGTAAGTAGGTAGTAGGGACCTGTGTAAAATTGTTTAAAATATCCACAGCAGGTGAGCTACGTGGGCTACACGCCGCCGCCCCGCAACGCGTACGGCGGGCGCGGCTGGCGCGGGTCGCGCGGCGGCCGGGGCCGCGGCCGCGGGCGCGGCTCCGTGGCGGCGCCCGTCGCTCGCACCGCACGACGCACGCGCCGCGATGTCGAAGAACCCGCTAAGCCCGCCACGCTCACTATTAACGGGTAACATTTATAGCCTAAAATATTTATAATTTCTTGTTAAATACATATTTTTCTATATAACATTTTTCCTAACTTTTCAGGAAAACTGTTAGGCCTGAAGATATTAATCAACAAGAGGAGGGCAGTCCTCATGAGGACACTTCAGCACCTGACACTGATGCTGATGGTATGTTCTAGATATATGATGAAAGAAAAGTTGTAGATTAGTAAATACTGTTTGAATGTTTTTTTTTAAGATTTCTTAATTTTCTTAAAAAAAAATCTATTTATACCATGTAAATTTTCAAGAGATTAATAAGCAAATGACATGTAGAGATGAGGTGTGATTGTTATTAAGGTTCTGGTGATAAATTGATATGGTGGCCAAGGGACATCCTCAACATTTAACTTTAGCTATGTTTTGTTTGAGCTTGATTGTTTGGTTTGAAGAGATGTAAGAATCTCATTGTTAATTCTAATTAGGTTGTAAGTACTAAAAATAATTGGGATGACTTCTGATCTTCGAGTGGTTAACGTGACATTACCAGTGATCGGAGTAGGTAGATTGATTTTTGGTACTTGTATCATAAATGCACACAGAAAGGATAACATGGATATGCCATTTTCCCGGAAAGTAATTCCGGTATTATCGTTGTAGCTTATCCATGTTGGTAGTGATATTATTCCTACTTAATTCAAAATTTAAAGGAAGGTATTAACTAAATTAATTTATTATTTATCTATTGAATAAAAAACAATCTAATTCCGATCCAAGCTTTTATTTTTAGTTTAAGCCTTTTATGGCTAGAACTTTCATAGATAGACCTAAATTGTTGCACTTAAATTTAAATATTTTCATAGTGGCATTAAGGGTAAAATAAATGACGGGTCCCTGTAGAGGGCTAATGCCTGCTAGGGTTGTGAGACTGTTCTAAAGATGCACCAAGACTCCGAAACGTAAAGGTGAAACGTAAAAAAAAATAAGAATAATATTGCTCATTTTATTACAGTTCCTACCGGTGCCGGTTTTTTTTAATAATCCAACAATTCCGGAGGAATGTCCATATTCATATATACGTTTCGGATCAATGACCCCATTTCAATCTACCTACTCCGATCACTGGTCACTGGTCATTACATATAAGTTTACTCTTATGCGTTTTCGTTTTTGTTAGAAGTCTTGTGTTAGTTAAGTGAGGTTTTTTGGTCTCATTAATATCTAAATAAGCTTCAAAAAGCATGCAATAAGTGTCACCTTCCTCTTAATTTACAGAAAATGGTGTACAGAGTCTGCTTGAGATAAATATAAGCACTACAACATATAACACATAATATTACTTAACAGGTACACAGCCTCAGAAAATGAAGACTGGCAAAAATGTCAAGAAGAATCTGGGGAAAGGAAAGAAAAAGAGCTCTGGCCAGAAGTCTGATCTCGCCCAAACATTGGAGGCTAATGGCCCACTTGATAAGAATAAGGTGACTGCAGAGTAAATTACAGCAACCACACGACAACATCTCTATGGAAATTTCAACAGACTTCCCTTCTTTCGTTAGTTTTATCCTCATGACAACTATAAATGACATCACTAAATTGAATGGTATATTCTAGGTGGCGGAGCAATGCCACAATTCTGAAAAGGAACACATTGGTCAAGGTGATGCACCAGTTTCAAACTAAAGTATTCGTTTCTAAAGGTAATTTCGTTATTGTTTTATTTTTGTTTAGTAATGATTTGAAATCAACTTAGTTTAGTTTTTTCGTGGCTTTTGTTTTTAAACTTTAGTTGTCCTCAAGCAAGAACTTTTAATAAACTTTTCGCATATCTACTTCACGATTTATACAACTTACCACATACACAGAAAGACACATGTGTACACACTTCTTGGGAAAATACGTTGGAACGTAATTGTTTTAGCACGTAAAATATATGTTAGGGATTTAGCTTGGATATTAATCCACAGGTTAAGATGTATACGTGCCTGAAGATCTAAAAGACTTCCCTATTTTGAGACTGATTTTGTATTACTTTAATTGATACACATAAGTGTTCAATTAATAATATTGTTAAAGACAAGTGGAGGCTCATTTTATGCCCCAATTAAATCCCAAATAAGACAAACAAAGGCTCTAGCTATTTTGTATTGTACTATGAGACCAATAATACTGATGTAAACTGAAAAGCAAGATCTATATTTCTAAAGAAATAATGTGACAAAAGGGACTATACGGTTCTATTATTTGAGGTAGTTGAATACCTCTTAGAATAAGTAATAAGAACCGGAAAATACCCACTATTTGACAAGTGATATTTAAAATATAATTATATATTGCTAAATTGACCTGTTGATTGTTAAGTCATGTTTTATTGAAAAGTGAGATGACTTAGTGCATAGTATGTTTTATTTATTTACACATAGTATATTTACAATTTACCAAATCATAATTTTTTACTTATAAGAGGGTTTGGTCTATGAAATCTATTTGGAATAATTCAAATTCAAGTTATTTAAAATTTCAAAAAACCTTAAATTACATAAAGGCTTTCAACCACGATTAAATAATCTCTAAGAATTAATTAAATTTACCAAAAATTTAAAAAAATCTCGATTGCATAGACTAAACCAAAATGTTTTCAGACTTGTTTTTGGGATTTCTTAAGTCATTGTTTAGGCTTTATTGTGATGTTGTTTGTTGTGTTAAAAATAAAACATGTCTGAATAACCTTTAATTATTTATATCAATCTCGGCAAATAATATAAAGGCACAACGGGCTATATCAATGTGGGAACTGTGATTACAAAATGTTTATTGTTAAATGTTCCAGTTAAGGACGAAACTCTGGTTAGTGGAACACTAAGTTAGTTTAAAAAGTGCATTTATTAAATGATTCTTGGTGCTTAGAAATCTGTGGGACTGCCTGAAACGAGTCTGAAACTCATAGATTTAAGTCTAACGATAAACGTTTATTAAAACTGAATGAGCATTCGCATTTTGACATATCCGCGTAATATAGGGTATTATTTCGATAGGAAATCTTAGATTTGTTATTAGTGATATATTTATATGCATTTTTGGGATACTCAACATTGCGAATGTTCTTCAATTTATATGTATTTTTGTAAATTTGTTATATTGTTATACTTAAATTTAGCTGGAATGAGAAACATCGATATAAGGACAGTCTTACTAAATAACTCGAATGGTGGAATAACTGTCGCAATTTGCTACGTTAATGTACATTCCATTCAGATCTTCTAAACAGTAATTGCACAGTTCACGCTACTCGAGAATGGAACTAAATGAAGACTTTACAATTTTGAACGCTTTAAACCCAGGCCAGAACAACACAAAATATGTTGCCACAAAACATATAAATTATAAATAATTGATTGAAAGTAACAATCAACTCTGATCAGAACTTGAGTGCAATGCACACACGCAGCAGCCACAACGCTGTTCCAAGACACTAAATGCAAATCAAAGTATATGCCTCTGATTTTGTAAAGATGCCACACAGTGGCTAGTGGAGGCCTACTGTCCTCCACTGTTCAGCTCGAGCGTTCAACTTGCATGTGGACGCTCACATTGCAAAGTATTCGCAAGCTGTCGCCAAGAGCGATACGCACTTTATATTATACATTTAAACATTTATATAATTATTGCTTGCTTATAAAATAGACACCATGTTAGCGTTAGAATTTTAACTTCAATGTATTTTGATTTGTTTAAGAATTATGTATAACAATGGTAAAGCATGTGAAAAATAATCTTATAATATGGGGATTCTTTCAGATTATAATGTTAACTTTCTTACACTGATTGGTATTCTTAAAATGTTACCAAAACATAATTGGATTGTTAAGATACCTTTGTTAGTCTCCATTAATTCATGTTATACATATTATCACATACTTAAAAACTAGATGATTCAAAAGAGAAGTAGATTTTATTTATCTCTTTTAATCGATTATTCACTATAGTTTTAGATTATTCTCAACAATATGATAACTTTTACTATCTACATTTAATACATTTTGTTTGCTGACAATGGTCACGATTATCAACATATAATAATCAAAATATATTAGAATACTTGTCATGTTAAACATACATTTTTCGTAATTGAAGTAGCAAACGTGGAACCGTGGCTTTTTGAAAACACTTATAACTTAAGAACCTACGTACGTAAACCCGCAATGTGAAATTTAATAATAGTTCATAAAATTATGAACTCAAAATTTGGATGAAATTTAAATTGTAAAGAGTTGTATTTGTCTTCAAATAAAACGTTCCATTATTATGAAAGTATGTTTTATTTCATTCCTTTAATTTTAGCCTTTTGTGAACCTCTGTGATCGTGGTTTCTTCTAAATTTGCTATATGACTAATAACAATCTGAGCAGCATCTTTGATGTCATTGTATTGGTGGAGCAGCTTTACTTGAATATATTTTTTCGCATTTAGCAATTGATCAATTTCCATTTCTATTTCAATGAGTTTGTTGTAATTTTCTTTCAAGTTTCTTGACATTTTTCCTGTCAAATGATAATTGTGATTTTCAATATAATAGTCGTAATTACAGTAAAACGAGTTACATAGAATTTGAGGGTTGAATCAATACTTGAATAATTACCCTACACCTATCCATTCACCCCTCTTCTGTACCTATCCCCCCCCCCCTCCTCGTGGACATTGGAGAGATATAGCATCAATTATTAACGCAGCACTCATTGTATGTTTTGAGTATGAAGTTCGACAGCTTTTTCTAGGTTTTGAGTGAAGACTGACCCCCTTAGGGAAGAATCATCAAATGACTTCTCTCGCCCAGGGTATTGCGAGAGAGAGTGTCAGACTTATTGACTCAGCCTCCATTCCTTTCCTTCTCCAACTCCAGGCCCAGACCGCAGTACTTCATTGTGCTTGCGGCCCTTTCGGTCCATAAGTGATGAACTGCCCTGACCCAACGGATGCTGGAGCAAACTGAGTAAAACTAGCTTACTACGAAAATGCAAGCAACAACAAATAAGAACAATATGATAATTTCGTGAACAAATTTCATATTAATTACCTATATATTTTAAGTGGGTGGTGGATAAGTTATAATTTGTACCACATGTAATTGTTTTAAATTTCTTCAAAAAAAGTAAGCGGTCAAACATAATGAATAAAGTTACCAGACATAAATAAAATTAAATAATAGAAATAACATTAATGAAATAATAATATATAGAAAGAAATAATAGCAGTTGAGGAAATTAGTTGTGATTTTAAAAAAATAAATTCAAGGTGATATTTAAAAAAAACACAATTTAAGTAGCATATTTTATTCAAGATCATTAATGTCAATTGGTTTACTGACACCCATAGCACAAGCTAACATGCTATTTATGTGTCTACCTTCTTCAGCTTTAAACACATATCCATTTGACTTATCTACTAATTTTCGAATATTGAGTAAACTTTCTGTTTTATACAAATTTACTAATTGAAAAGAAACTAAACTATAGTCTTCAATGATAGAAACAAAGGCACTATTTAATTTTTTATGTTTGCTGGTAAATGTATCAGTATCTAAACTGTCTAGCAAATAATTTAAATCCAGCACTTCTGTATAGAAGTCTATGCCAAACTGCAGTTTGTCCATATGTTTTTTTAACAAATCGGCTTTTGTTAGTAAATTGATATGTGGCAATCCAATTTTTAACATCGCACTCAGTGATAACATTAAAGCTGCAATAAATTTTCCAGCATCAGAACAATGGTGTGAGTCCACTAAATGGACAACACAAAATTGTAGATTTCCAACACTACCAAGTTCTGAAAATATGTTGCTTAAACTTTTGTGGTGACAATAGAGTTCTACCTGCCCAGGTAGGTCAAATATGTAATTAGTGTAGTTTTCACCATTAATTTGACTTAGAAGCCACTGAATATTTTTTTCTAAAAACTCCATACAGTATAATAAAGCTCCATTGGGACCAAGGTGGTGCTGATCCATCACCTCTTCTAGAGAAATTAGTTCCCTAATGTCAATGTCTGGTTTGTAAGATGTTACATCATTGGCCGGATCTAAATTAATTACCACAACATTTCTTCCTAGTTTTCGTAAAAGTTCTGACATTTTTCCACAGTAAGTTGTTTTTCCTGCACCTGGAGGCCCCAAAACCAGTTGACCATAGTATTTTTGAACAGACTTAAATTTTTTTGCACTCACTGTAGCCATTTTAAGCTTCTGTTTTACTTATTAAATTTAATATTACTTCTTTACAAGCTTTGACTGTTTCAATGTCATATGATTTGAGATTTATAAATATACAAAGTGGTTTTGTAATCTTAATTGCTTCCGCCAAGTATCTCGCCGCAACTTGTGGTTCTTCTCCTGCAGCACCAAAAATAACTTTTGTTGTATAAATATCATTAGTACCTAAAGGACTATGAACTTGATCTTTTTGTATCATTAACATGCTTCCAATCTTCTGATATTGTGATACAATAAGCATAATTTTATCAGAGTACTCAGCAAAAACTATTTCTGTGGGTACATCATCTATATCTGCAGCAATAGACTTGAACAACTGCTGATCACTTTCACTTGGGATATGTTTAATAGTTAAGTTTTTCATAATATCTAGGAGTTCCATATTGACAGATAGTGTATCTAAAATAGAAACTTATATTGACTTTTCTGCTTGTTGGTGCCAAAAACACACTACAAAAATGGTAAGGGTCAACTTAATTTAAAATAACAAAGTTTGAATTTCAGATTTAAGGAAACCAATACAATAGTTAAGAATATATAAAATAATAGTCCGTGAGCAGCATTAGGAGTTGTTTTCTTTTCCTTACAGGCTTGTAGGTATATACTTACTTTTTTGAAAGAAATCTTTTTAATGAAAATTTAGGGGACACATGTAAAAAGAAATCATAAGCTGTAAAAGTATTTCACAGATATCAAACTGATATTGTATAAAAAAAGTTTTACAATGGGTATATTGAATACTGAAACTGGTTTGAAGATTCCTACCTTGCTTGGTGACTTTTAAAGAAAAATTGTTATATCCATCCAATGGTTATGATTGTGCCAAACTTGTTGATAACGCTGTATTGTGGATGTGGACATAAAGCACCTTTTGATGACAATTCGTTTTCACACGTTTTGTTTGGACTTGGAATGCTTGGATTTTCAGAAGTAGTCTGTGTGTGTATCTAATGCATCGGTTTCTAAGATATCACAGATAACTATATATTTCTTAGGTAACGAATGAAACAACTTGGTGTTGATTTCAAACCTCAATACATTATTTTCCGCTGTTCCCAAATATAAGCACTACGTTTATTACAGACTTACAGAATTGATAGGTGATATTTGAACCATAGACTAAGTTGAATACTTACAAGAGTACCTACCCAATGTAGTACAATAAATTTTTTGTACATACACAATATAAAAGATTCCTTCAGCCTCCATTCTCGATATATTATCATCCTCTATGTCTTAAACTCTGAATACGGAAATCATGGTAGGTACCTATTAATAAACCTAAATCATTGCGCTAATCCGTGACAGAAGTATAAAGGTAAATAAAATAAAAATGTACGCACATTAGTAGCCTAACTGTAGACTGCATTTTTTCGGCGTGTAGCACTTTTCTATAATAAATTCTTTATTAAAAATAATTTAATAACATCACGGCATTTGTTCTCAGAGACTACTACTACCACTAAAATATAAACCTGAATATATAAAAAGATAAAAATACCTTGTGTAAAATAAACCATAAACAATATTGATTATCTGTGGAATCGAAATTCTGAGTTCTGGTAACATTTAATGACTGTCTGACAAATTTGTTTTCTCTTGGCTTGTCAAATTCTGACAAGATGGTAGTGTATAGTTTTTGTATTTTATATCTAAATTAATCTTAGTAATTAAACAATATTTTTAATAAAGTTTTGTAGATTTTGTTGTGACTTAACCATGTAAACTGAAAATTGCGTATATTAGTGAGATATTCCTGGGTTTAAACTTATAACCTGTAAATGTGTATTTCAGACGAAGGGTACTTCGAGCTTTGGTAAGCGTCGTAACAAGACACACACCTTGTGCAGAAGGTGTGGCAGATCCTCGTATCACATCCAAAAATCAAAATGTGCACAGTGTGGATACCCTGCAGCTAAGCTGCGTTCCTGTAAGTACTCATATTTTAATACCGGTCAAGTCTAGTCTTAAGGGCTTTAGTAAGATTAATATTAGAACATGTAAAGTACCTGTGTTCTAGCTAAACTTTTTATATGAAAATACAGTATTTTTAGTATGAATACCATGAACTAAAATTTATTATATCATAAATATACTTACCTCTGAATGTGGACTTGTTCTTAACCATTCATAACCATATAGGTACGGAAGTAAAGTACACAGCTCAATTGAATGAAGCATAATTAATAAATTCAAAATATCACTTCTGTTTATGCTACATATTATTGGAAAGCATTTTTATTATATGCATCTGTTTCATCTCATTGTGACATTGTATGGAACATTTGTCTTGTAATTTTGATATTCCCCAAAGTTAGCTATCAATTCTATAACAACAATGTTGGGAACAAAATGCAATTATTTTTATAGTCCATAGATATATTATAGATTTATAGACTCAATCCTAATCTGGAGTTACTGCACATGTACTCTGATTGAATGAGAAGACAAATTTGAAATATTAAAGGCACCATTCAATATTTGATATACTAAAATCTGCCATGTGACTACTTAAACATAAATTTTGCTTGAAATAATAACATCTTATTAAAATCATCATAAATTAAAAGTATTTAAAAGCCAAATCCTAAATAGGTGCACACATTTTGTATGTAGTCAAGTATCAAAGAAATACTCTAGTCGAGTGAGACCTTATGTTTTAATCCATCATTTGCTGGAACACAGATCTTGGTAATTTACAATGTTTTCAGTGTAAATTGTATTTACCATTTTACAAATTAATAATATACATGTTGGGAAATCTAGTACATAATATTATATTACATTTTACAGCAGTTAAAATTTGGAAACTTCAGGTTACAACTGATATGATATTATGTCTTGATATTTCATAGCTTGCTGCTTACTGTATATAATATACAATAATATATTTTAAATTAAACACATCTCATGAAATTCACTGCAAGAGCGAGCATTTACTAGTTTCCATTTTTTATCCTACACTGATTGAAGAGATATTTGCTTTTAAAATATTTCTTTGTATAATGTAGGAAGAATAATTGAAATTTGAAAAGAATAAATGTTAATGTAACATTTGTTTGATCATTAATTCAAACAATTTATCAAAGTATTCAATGTTAGTTTTCTATAAGTTTATTTTGGTCTAAATTTAGGGGAATCCTTTTTGTATATAATTTGAAATGGGTCAAATCAAATTTCATTCCTATCACTACATAATACAAAACAAAGCCACTTGCTCTGTCCCTATATCCCTATGTAAGCTTAAATCTTTAAAAGTATGCAATGGGAATTGATGTTGTTTTTAATAGATAGAGTGGTTATAGAGGAAGGTTTCTATGTATAATAAAATCTATTAAAAAGAGGATAAATTTAGTATTAGCAATGCATCCATGCGAAGCTGGGCTGTACATGGTGGCATGTACATGTAACATAAGAAATAAGTTAAGGTAAAGGAAGTGTACATTTATGTGAACCTTGTTTTTCAGACCACTGGTCAGTGAAGGCCAAGCGCAGGAAGACCACTGGAACTGGCCGCATGCGTCACCTGAAAATCGTGAGGAGGCGTTTCCGTAATGGCTTCAAGGAAGGCAAACCTACACCCAAGAAAGCTGTAGCTTCGTCGTAAACCTAACATAATAAAAAATACAAATCCATTCCAAAGGTTTTATTTCAAATCATAATATTTTGATATTATTTAATTGACAGAGTAATTTAGTATGATACTACAAATCTATGCAACAGTAAATATCAGTACAACTGGTAATTACATCGTTGATTTAGTAGCTGAGTGACTTGAACGTGAATTTCGGTTACGGCTATTAAAATCTTAAGGAATTTAAAAATAAAATACAAACTTCTCAAATCTTATATCCTATAGTTACGGAGCTCCCTACACCCCTGATCTGATGTGTAAGAAAAGTATTCGCAATCGCACACTATCGTCTTGCTTGTGGATTCATAACCATAGTCTTTACAAAAGTGACACAGTTAAATACTTGAGACGAAACTATGCTTTTTGTAGGTACATCGTCTATTACCCCTCATAACAACAGCGTTGCACGATTCGATTCTTATTTTATAACAAACTAGGTATACAACTGTTTGCTGAGCAACGTGTCTCGTGTTCGTTTCCCGCACGAAGTAAGTGTAGTTCCTAGATTGTTCTGGATGTGGGTTAACTACCCATCTATATTTTTTTGTCAGTCGAAAATCATCAAATTACTTTTCCCCCCAGGTTATGGTGAGACAGTGACAGATTCTTACTGACTTAAAACCCCTTCGTTCCCTCTCCTGCTTTGGGCCGAGGCCGTGGTGCCACATTGCGCTTACCCCACGACCCGGTCCGAACATCAGCCCTGTAGGGGCCGTCTGTGGTGGTTTATAGGCTCTTTGAGGCGCGCGCAAAACGCACGCTTGGTTTTATCTATATGAACTGGTATCGCAAGCACGTAGGTAACGCGTGCGTTCGTGCAGCGGAATGTTGTTGAATTTAAAGATTTTAATTATGCAGATATTTAGTGTATGACGTCGTATAATTGTGTATGGTAAAAAAAAATTTGTGCACGCAACCATTGTGGAGAAATTCACCAAAAACTGATTCCGCTGGGCGAACGTTGTCCTGGCGGAACTTTTTTTAATCCGTAGACTTTAGAAGAAAAGAGATGTATCCAAAAATTAGTGTGTATTTGTGTGTAATTGTGTATGTATGAATAAAACTAGTGCATGCATAAACTTCGGAGAAATTCAAGTTTCCGCTACGCGAACGTTTGGCCATTAGCTAGTTTTCATATAAAGCGCTTACATAGAGAGCTGTAGATTTTTACATACGTTGTTTTGAATTTGTGTATATTTGTTTAAAAAACAGATTTAGAAAAAATCGTAGGGTTTAAAAGATAAAAATATAAACGTAAAATACGCTTATTAGGTCTTAGCTCTTAAAGTATGCACTTTAGGGTCTAGATTTTCACGTTTATACAAACCTTGTAAGTGTCTGCAACATGTTGCCAAGTATCAATGATGTTCCGTTAGTAATTAAATAGTTATAGGACAAATTTACCATGAATAGATCACTGTTTACAAAGCAGTCAAATATCACGACTTTCTAAATGAATTGCATGGTAAAATGTATGCCAATAATTAGTGTATTCATTCAACTATTCACATGCAAAATTTCATGTCATTAAATTCAGTAATTAAAGAAAAACAATTATAATACTGACGAAGCATCGAAAACCTACATAACCCGACCAAGTTCGGATGGCTACAAAAAAGCGGCCGTGCCATATATCTAAGAAACGTTCTTAACTTTCCAATATAGCATTTATTAATATGGTACAGTATCGTACACAAGCGTTAGGAAAAAATAAAACACAGTATCGTACACACGCTCGTGCATGCCTAGTCTATTGGTTAAATAGTGTAATAAAAAATATTGGTTAAATAGTGTTTTAAGCTACAATATGATAAATATTTACCGAAACAGTAGTAGGTACATACATACATGTGGTAAATATTTAATTTTCCTAAGGGGTCTATAGTTAGAATCCTGATCCGTGAAATCTTCAATAGAAATTAGCTGTATGAATTTTATTTGTCTTAAATATAATTAGATTATATCTCAAGTCTCAAGCGCATACTTAAATAAAATACCTACGTAAAAAGTACCTACTTTCTGTCATAGTCAAATACATTTAAAAAAGTAGGTGTCCAAAAATAAATGACCTATAAATTATTTCGAAACAACAAGTGTGTTATCACCTGTACCAATTCAATACCGGTATTATACTGTAAATTTTGGGATGTTACCTTAATATATTGCACGGCCGCTTTTTTGTAGCCATCCGAACTTGGTCGGGTTATGTAGGTTTTCGATGCTTCGTCAGTATTATAATTGTTTTTCTTTAATTACTGAATTTAATGACATGAAATTTTGCATGTGAATAGTTGAATGAATACACTAATTATTGGCATACATTTTACCATGCAATTCATTTAGAAAGTCGTGATATTTGACTGCTTTGTAAACAGTGATCTATTCATGGTAAATTTGTCCTATAACTATTTAATTACTAACGGAACATCATTGATACTTGGCCACATGTTGCAGACACTTACAAGGTTTGTATAAACGTGAAAATCTAGATCCCAAAGTGCATACTTTAAGAACTAGGACCTAATAAGCGTATTTTACGTTTATATTTTTATCTTTTAAACCCTACGATTTTTTCTAAATCTGTTTTTTAAACAAATATAAACAAATTCAAAACAACGTATGTAAAAATCTACAGCTCTCTATGTAAGCGCTTTATATGAAAACTAGCTAATGGCCAAACGTTCGCGTAGCGGAAACTTGAATATCTCCGAAGTTTATGCATGCACTAGTTTTATTCATACATACACAATTACACACAAATACACACTAATTTTTGGATACATTTCTTTTCTTCTAAAGTCTATGGATTAAAAAAAGTTCCGCCAGGACAACGTTCGCCCAGCGGAATCAGTTTTTGGTGAATTTCTCCACAATGGTTGCGTGCACAAATTTTTTTTTACCATACACAATTATACGACGTCATACACTAAATATCTGCATAATTAAAATCTTTAAATTCAACAACATTCCGCTGCACGAACGCACGCGTAGGTAACAGGAGGAAATATTTTTGTGCAGTTTTTTTTTGTGAGGGGAAAATCATCAAATGACTTCGCACGCCCAGGGCCGAGCGGGAGGGAGTGTCAGACTCTTACTGACTAAAAACCCCCCTGTTCCTTCTCCTGCTCTGGGCCGAGGGGGCCTCATTGCGCTTACCCCGCAACCCCGGCTGAACATCAGCTCTTTAGGGCCCCCGTCTGTGGTGGTCTATTGGCTCTTTGAGGCGCGCGCGGAACGCTACGCGCCGTACGCTCGGGCCTGGTTCTGGTCGGGCGGCGAGCTGCCCTTACTCGCCGACCACAGACCCGTGCTTACGGTGGCCGGAGATCGTCCCTTGATTTTTGTGCGGTTGATGCGGTGGCTGGGTGTGGGTTTGATTCCCGCACGGAGCAACTCTGCGATCGACAAATTGTTGTTTCTGGGCTGGGTGTGATCTAGAGGAACTGGAAGCCTTTCTACGAAGCAGTAATGCTCGTAAAGAAGGAGGCGGAGCGCGTGCTGGAAGTTGGCGCAGCAGGAATGTAGCTATTTTATTTACGTTTTTCTTCAATACTGCAACGTATAGAAAACCGTTTCATAACGGCTTAACTCACACGATTTATTACTGCATACGTACTCATTCATTACCTCTACCAACTAAGTTGACACTACACAAAAATAGGGTCAATCTACCAGATTCTAAGCTAAAAATACATTCAACAAGCAGTTTATTAATGTCAGTAAACAACAGCAATTAGGTACCTGAAAAAATAATTTAAAATAAAAGAGATAGGTATACATTTCTCAACCGGGTCAAACGCAATAATACCGCGGCTTCAGCCTGGAGCAGGAGAAGGAACGGGCTTGTTTGATTTTCAATTACACTCCATGTTGACTTAACAAGGACGAGAGAAGTCATTGAGTGACTTTCACCCTCAAAAAAATAACTTTAGTCGGCCCTTGAATGGAATGGCCTCTTGCTAAATAGCTGCACCTGCACACATTGCGCCGTTCGATCGGGACTGTACTCGTCGGGGGACGGGGAGTTATCCTTAGCTCGCTGTCCGCAGCAGACCCGATCTTTCGATAGCAAATTAAGACTGCCTATGTCTATATTATAATATTAGGAGCATTTATATTATGATATTAGGAGCATTATTTAACGCTTTGCGGACTTTACATGTCAATTATGTAATACCTACCTACCTAAGTATTTAAACTTTGTAAGTATGGATGCATGGAAGTTTGTTACTCTTTCACGTAAAAACTGCAGAATACGTCTTGATGAAACGTGGAATAGCACATAGGCTGTTTTCAACCCTGGTTTTCTACGGTCGAAGCCGTTTTGGCAGAAGCTAGTGGTAAATAATGTTAGTGATTATTAACAAAACAGTAATTAAAACCAAAAAGTAACTTTGTTTCACAAACTGATTTGGTTCCCGGGGTTCAAGCTACGTGAACAAGTTTAGTTTTTTATTAGAACCAAATTAAACATCATAGTTTGAACCATCTGATGACGTAGCGGCGCCAACGGGTACAGGAGGCGCGGGCGCGCATCGTGTTTTCGTAGCCGTCATAGCATTGTGTAGGCAAAAGGCAACCCACTGTCAGACAGAACAGCGAGTCAGTCGTTCGTTTGTCGCCCGCGCGCGCTCCGTGTCGCTGCCCGTTGTAGAAAACTCTCGTCTAAACATCGCATAATCTAACCCAATATCGCTATTGGGTGATAACTTATCATGTGCTATGACGCGACGATATATTTTAAAGTTCTCTCAAGATAAGCGACAGTGTGGTGATTAAATTATATTGTGCACGGTTAGAGAATGTGTGCGCACTGACGTTCTCACTAAAGGAAAACTTATTACCGTTACGTAGTGCTCTTTTACTATGTCGTTATTTAAGAAGAAGGCGCCTAAATACACGCCGCCTCCAGTGCCACAGTCTCCTGTCGAGGAGCCTCAGCAAGCAAACGGAGTGGACAATAACAATGGAGCACAGAAGTCACAGTTGGTGTTCCACTGTCAGCAGGCTCACGGGAGCCCCCTTGGACTCATTTCTGGATTTTCTAATGTCAAGGAGCTTTATCAAAAGATAGCGGAATGTTACGATTTTCCACCAGACGAGGTAAGATTTTTCTAAAGTAGTTTTATAAACGATGTTGAAAAAGATTTGTCATGAACAAGTTTCTGAGTCATTGTTGATGGAATAAGTACGTAGAATCATGATTTATTGCAGCGCTACGGGTGAGGTGATTCCCGAGTCTCCTGACTATATAGGGCCTATGACTACTTACTTAGTTAATAACATATTTAAGTACTCACCTAAGTTATCTTGAATCATTAAAACACAATACGATGGTCAGTTCATTATCACAGTCCGCAGAAATGTGGTATTCACCGATAGGATACCTAAGTATACCTACTTACGTCCTGAAACATTATCACAACTTATCTCTTATGTTCATATGTATAAGTGCTTGCTCAGGTATGTGTAATTGGCTAATAGAAGATTTATTTAACAAATAATGACTTAACAACGTAGGTAATAATGTTTTGTTAGACAACTAGGTATGCACTTATCTATTTATACATACCTAGGTATATAAGTATGTCTCCACTAGGACCAAAACCAGGCTGGTGCGGACCCTGGTCTTTTCGGTCTTCTGTTACGGCGCGGAGACATGGTCTCTTAGGGCAGCGGACCGCAAACGAATTGACGCCTTTGAGATGTGGTGTTGGAGGAGGATGCTCCGTATTCCCTGGACGGCATTTCGAACCAACGTCTCAATTCTGCGTGAACTCAAGATCTCCTCACGACTGTCATCCGTGTGCCTTCGTAGAGTCCTTGAATACTTCGGTCACATTGCAAGAAAAGAGGGAAACAACCTGGAGAGACTCATTGTGACCGGAAAAATGGAGGGGAAAAGGCCTCGTGGTCGCAGCCCGATACGTTGGTCCGATCAGATCCGCACCACTTTGGACTCTACCATCCACGGCGCCCTTCACACCGCCAGAGACAGAATTGGATGGAGGAAGATCGTACGGGAGAAGGTGATACCGAAGGGAGGTCACGACCCTCAGCAATGAGGAATGCGAAGCAAGGAGATATAAGTATGTAGATATTGCCTGCACAAGCTTTTCATGGACAGCCACTGAGTACACTGATAAGAACATATACCTAATTTACCATAAGGAGTGCGTCATACATATTCAAATTACTTCATATTAAGATTTTACAATAAGCATGAAAAGTTAGAGTAGATTTACTTTGCATTTGCTAAAAATTGTATTCAACGGAATATTAAATACTTTGTCGTAGGTACCTACCTACTCGTAAAAGTCAGTTAATGCCGACTATGAAATGGATACAGTAAGTAGGTACGCAGCATACCTAATGGAAGTGTAGCAATTTGGGATTTGATTTAAGAACAACAACCACGTGTTAAAATCCTAGATAAAGTCCCTAGATAATATTGCCTAGTTTATACATATTTTTAAGTAAGTAATACAAAATTCTTCAAACAAATTCGATGTACCTACCTCCTTAGGTATCTACTTTACTTAGCATACCAAGTAGGTAGGTGCTTTAAATAATACCGCAAGTTTTTATAAAACATAATCCTTCATTAGTAATGTAAACAGAATTTACATTTCTGGCATAAAGATAGCAAGTTACGTTTAATGTAAAAACAATATTTCTAGTTATGAAAATAAGAAGTCAAGGCTCGGGATAAAAACAGATAGGTTCCTAATGTTCCTTTTAACTGGGTAGGTACCTATAGTACGTACTACGTAAGTATACCAATAGGTACTTTGCATACCTATTAACTTTCTATCTTTAAGAATTTCGAATGTACGAGTAGATATCTACTTACTTAGGATCACCCAAGCACAGTTGAATGATGACGTTATTACTGTGATGAAGCGTCTTTCCCATAACTATTATCAAATGTGAAATAATAATTAATAAGATTGAATAAAGCTAAAGAAGATTAAACACAGGTAGGCACCTAGATAGTGTAATAATAATAGTTTCGGCTTGTTAAACAGGCAAATTAGCCACGTCACTGAAAAATGTTGTAAATTTGTAACCCAAAATGGAAAAGAAATTAAGCCTAATGATTACCTAAGTGCTCATTGAATATTTCAGATTCCAGAGGTAATAATTATAACACGGTATATATTTTTATACAAAACGTTGCCCAACGTAGGATGTTCTCCTGTGTCGTTAGTGCGTTTGCAAACATAGAATTTCACATACACGTCATACCCAGATCTGGAATATCATTTTGTGGATCACACAATATTGTTCCGTGCCGAAGTGTGACATTATTTTCTTACCAAAAATATTGGGTAATCTTCTATTGAAAATTGTTTATTTAGGTATCTTGTGTTCATCGCGTGCCGTCTTGTATGGCTGTACAATCTACATCCTTAGTTAGTAACCTTTAGCCGTAGGTGTTGGTAGGTTTTGGTTGAGCTTGATACCTACATAGTTACTCAGTCTTAGAGTCAAGTTCAGCTAAATAGCAGTATTTTGACAGTTCCGTCTTAGTTTTTACATGAACATAAAAGTAATATCTATAACCTTCTATGGGTAATAGGTACCGTAGGTACTCCTTTGTAGTTGAATCGGCTTGTCCGATTTTTAGACTTCTGATTAGGTGCATTATTAAGTACCTACAGTGCCTAAATATAGGTTAGTTAATTACTTAATTATGGAAATAATAGAATATTTACGTTAGGTACTTATCAAAGAAAAAATGCACTTAGGTAAAGGTAGGTTATTTGTACAACTTATCAATTAACAATTGAGTTAATCACGCGGCGCGGCGTTACCTTGTTTTCAGTAAAAGCCTAAGATCTATATTTTATTAAGTAAGTACTTACCCATTTATTTGCACTGGTTAACCCACTGCACATGCTTGACGCTACCGTATTTGAATAAAATAAAAATGTACATATAAAGATAGGTAACCCCTCATGCTTGTAACACAAAGTCTTATTTATATCTGGCCATTGTATACCAACACAATAATTGTGGTAGGTACATACTTATACTGATAGTTGTAAGTAAATAAGTAGGTAGGCTGGTAGGTTCACAAAACACACTAAACCCGTATGTGGGTACCAAAATCAACGATGATCGATAAGAGTTACGTGCTAAAGTTAACATACCACGTTTACATTAATTAGTACCTACTCATTTATAAACAAAGGATAGGTCGATAACAATAAAACACCGTGTTAAAAATAAAAGTGAAATAAGTCCGTACTTATTATTATTTTATTTTATACGAGCGTGTTATATTTCTTACCTTGTTAACTTTATATAGCCTAGGTATTTACGTACGTTATAATAAAAATACCAAATTAAATATAGAATACGTCTTTTGAACGTCGAACTAAATATTTATTTAAAGATAAAAATCGTCAGCCAGTCCTCCAGTGAAACTATTTTGTGATTCCTAAATCCTAAGTAGGTATTCCCTATGAAGAAACACAAGCAAAAAAAGAACTTTGTAGTTAGGTACTTACTATTTTTCAATCAGGTTTAAAACTATTGGATAACATAACACAAATTATTGTATAATAAGTTTGTTCAATTATAAGTACATAATTAAGAACAATGTAATACCAATATTCAGCCAAAGACGCAGAAAAACAAAATAACCTTTGAAGGCAATAAATTAACACAGACTTAATTTCTTTAGGGAATACATAACTACTGGATATTTGTGCTAGGCCTTTCTCAAATGTGATGACAAAAGACTTTCACCTTTCCCTTATTATATGATAACTTTACCTCATTACAAACCTTCGTCTGGCGATTGTCTTCACTTGGGCCACCCCAATATCTAGGGCTCCGTGACATTTTTGCATAGACCGTCCTGCTATTACGTCAATGCTTATTTTAACGAATTAGTTTATGTCTAGGTATATACTCTTTATCAAGTCAGCAATTTTATGCAGCTGACATGACCTACTTGGTTATCTGTTACATTGCAGACAGCTAGATAAAGAAAAAAAGAACATGGAACACTAATTGTCGTAGAAATTATTAAAGTTGCTTTATGCACATTCATTTATACATCATGAGAAGTGGTAACTATTTTGATTTGGTTCATCGTCGGTACGTTTTTTGGTTAAGTAGGTACTGGTTTCTATGCTATTTTATCTAAGTAGGTGAATATTCTTATTAGCTCAAGGCGCGTTACTACTTGGCAGAATCACCAACTTTCATGAAAGCTATATTGATGACAATCAGAACTAGTGAGTGAATCGATTCCGTTTCGGTAGATTTAATCGAATAAGTTAACTTACAGATAAATCTATATTGATTATATTTGACTGATAAGTGCTTAATGCAATAAAACATAGATTTTATAAGATACTGCAATCAAGCTTACCTAGCTATACATTTTAGCATTTTGATAGTAGCTACACATCATGCTAAGTCGATAACTTCATGAATTGGCAAAAATCTTTTTAATAATAGTAAATAAGAAGAAACAAACTTTCTAAAAAATCCTTAAGATAATCTTCAACATTGTGATAAGTGCTATTACCGATTAATTGCTATTATCTACTAGAATATCTCACCGATTTTGGTCCAACGACCGATCTATTGAGTTAATGCCTTAAAGGTCACCGGCGAAAATGGCACGGACGCTAATTTCCTGATATTTCACGGCTTGTGAAAACGCTCAAGGTTTATTCGTTGTCAAGGTCTAGTCGTGAGAATGAAGATAATAGAGTTTACACCATTTCAGTCTGCTGTGAGTGTTTAGTATCTAATTGTGTGTAGGTATATATTGTTACCTACCTTTTGTAAGTATGTAGGTAGATACCAATGGTTGCGTAACTAAGCAAACCGTACCAGATACCTGTAGGTAGACTAAACACTTCGTTTTTGGAGAGAAGCGCTAGCTACATTCGTGTTAACTAATGTTAGAGTTATTTTTTCTTAATTGCTAAACTAATTGAAACCAAAAACTATAATATAATAACGACATATTAAATACTGCTACCGTTACTAAAACTACCTAGTAGATGTAAACGCGTTAGTGATAAAAATCAGAGGAAAAATAATGTAGGTGCCTGAGAACATGTTAAATATTTACCAAAATTCTTCTATCTAATCTTAGACAGTAAATCACCCATTCATCATCATATCAACCGCTCGCCAGGCACCTCTCTACAGTTTTAGTCATACCTACCTATACCTAACTTAAAATAGAATAATCTACCTATCTGATCTTAACTGAAATAGTGGCATATGGTTCTATTTGCTCACAAAGTAACATTATGTAGGTGGACACCCTTCCCATACGTAGGTACCTATACGATACCAACGATACGCATGCTTGATGAAATATGCTCACCTAGTGTTGAAGAGAATAGCCAAAATGGCATAACTGGGTTTAAAATGTTTTTATTCTAACAAATCGCATCGCACAACAAGTGAAACGCAAAGATAAATCTGTGTAACTATGTGGGTAAGTATGTAATGTCACAGTGTGCGGATGTACGCACGGCTGAGCAGCCAGGAAGTGGATCAGCCCAGGGGCGCAGTCTCTCGTTGATATAAACGAACGTGGCAAGTGACTGCAGATACGCTTCGCCGCCGTATGTGTGCCTGTGCGATGGCCTACTACACATGGGTCAAGGACCGGAGCGCGGTCGTACCTGCAACGCATGCCTTGTCATGCAACCATTTCGCACTAACCTACACACTTACAATTCAAACAAACGTGTGACTTACTAAAAGTTAATCAATATCAATATTTTTATTTACTCATTCCTCTAGCGCATGCTTTGCCGCTCAGCGTGCCATTTATCTCTTATCTGTTAGCTGCTTATCTGCACTCTACACCAACGCATTGACAGTTAATTTCATAGACCTATAGTGTTTGATCAAAAGATATTATCTTCTAATTGAATTGAATTTGGTTAAGTTTTATAGATAGAACATAAATACATTGAGCTAAACAACATAGTTTCGTACTTAAATGTTGAATTATCATGATATATTACGTACTCGGTTATAAAGACATGTGTTTACTTAGATTTATTAAAATTACAATCGAATTGTAAATAAGAAGAATGCTTAGTACCAGAAATCTAGGGTATTATTTAATGGTTAATACAGTCAAAAGAAAATTGCTTTTAGTCACGCACCTAACTAAGGCGTGGCTAATTAGGTTAGTGGTAGGTATTAAATGAAATATCACAAAATGTGTTCCAATAACGCCGGCAATGCATTTCTTTGGTTTCAGATTCTATTTTGCACGCTGAATACTCACAAAGTGGATATGAAGAAACTACTAGGCGGACAAATAGGATTAGAAGATTTCATATTTGCACATAGAAAAGGTCGTCCTAAAGAAATAGAAATCGTTAAAACTGAAGATGCTTTGGGATTGACAATAACAGACAATGGTGCTGGATATGCTTTTATAAAAAGGATAAAAGAAGGTTCTATTGTAGCGAGAATACCACATATCGAGGTAAGAAAACAATTTATTTCTGTTAATAAGCCATAAAACATACCAACTTTTACACGTCAACAAGATTGATCCAGGCTTTTTTATATATGTAAAAAAAAAACTAAATGAAGCCGGGTGACCTAGAAAAGGAAGAAATAGATTATTGGTTTGTGAAGTCGATAGATACAACACTAGGCGAAGTCCTACAGAAAGTTCACGATCAATAAACAAAGTACCTAATAAAGTAGGAATGGAATGCGATAATGTACTTACTAAAACTCGTATCTCATGTAGATAAAATGATTAATATTTTTTTGGATAGATTAAGATTAGGACTGAATCTATAATAGAAAAATAGCTAAACTGTGTTGAAAAGTAACTTCGATAAATATTTGCTTCGATCTACGAAGTTATGAAACACCAAAATTCTAAATGTTACCTGGGTCGCGTAAACCTTCGAACACACCACGGTTCTCTGAGAGAAGGTCAGCTTATCAAGGTTAAGTCACTCACCCTTAAACTTGCACCCCGTGACTCCACCCTTTGCTCAGATAAGTTATAAAAGAACTATGCTATGTGTAATACGATAATAACATATACATATCTGTAATTAGAATTTGCTGTGTGTCTTGCTCGTGGCTACTCGTGGCTATGTGGTTCAAACAATTTCAGACGTTTAATTCAAAATTTCAAAATGTCGCTAGATTTCTTTTTCTGACGAAAATTCTGACGAAAATTTCAATCACATAGTTGAGATTGAATTTTCCAAATTGCATTGCATTATAATAAGTACCTATATTGTAATTTCTAGTAAATAGGTAGATTCTTAACTTTCCAATATATCTTCAGCGTTTTGAATCCACCAATTTGTCATGGCGTTCCTCAGGGCATTCCATTTCATGCGATATAGAGCACAAATCAAGTAGTGTAAGATTACATAAATTATGAGGTGAACTTTTTCATATGCTGATTCACACTAGTCATTTAGAAATCCTTTTAAAAAGCTTTCTCGTAAATGGTAAACTGCAAAAAACAGAAGTGAAAAGAGCGTATCAGAACAAAGTACTTAGTTATAAAAATAGAATGAATAAGTATACGGAAAATAAAGTTAAAACGTTTTATTTAGGTAGGTACAGTAAGCAAGCAAATAACCAGCTAACGGCAAATATGAAAATTATGTAGCAGGAAATATAAGCGATTCAGATAAGGCAACGATATCTGTAAAACTTTGGCTCATGCGAATTGATAAATGTTATGAAATATGATAGATAGTCCTACAAAAATGTGTAGGTACATGAAGATTCCAATTTATAAATATAAAATTGAATAAAGTCTCATATTATAAACACAATGAACACAAACCGTTTACTAAGATAAAAACTAAAGATAAAGTGCATAATGACGAGAGTCATCATTATGCCGCTTATCAGTCTTAACAAATATACAGTGAGAATGAAAATGAAATTTACCTACTTATTAAATTATAGTAAGCAATGTTATTAGCTAAATAAGATTGGGAATAAAGTATGTAGATAGGTCTATAAGGAAAAAACTTACACTGCATAGTTCAAGAATTCAAGAACTAAGAATTGCGTTTGGTATAGTTAGTATACTGCGCCCGAAATATCAGTGTTAATTCCTGTTGTGATATGGTAAGCACGGTTAAAAATATCTCTAGAAACGAATGTATACCTACAATCTACTTGCATTAGATACGTTGCGTCATAAGCAAGCCTAAAGAAACTGACATGATGGTGGTCGTTCGTTGGCCTTGTTAAGAAATTCACCGGAAATAACTGATTGTAAAATTAAACTTGTTCCCTTTTAATTCAGGTCGGAGACCACATTGAGAAGCTGGATGGAGAAAATATGGTTGGCAAAAGGCATTATGAAGTCGCAAAGATTTTAAAGGACATTCCAAAGGGAACTACTTTTACGATTCGATTAGTCGAACCACTTAAAAGCGGATTCGCAAGTATTGGACCAAAGACAAGTGGAGCAAAATCTGGAAGAAAACAGAACTACGGATCCGGCAAAGAGACATTACGGTTTAAAGCCAATGGCCAGGCAACAATAGAAAATGACGTAAGTTTTATCATTTTGACCTACAAGAATTTGCTTTTTGTTTTGTAATAAATACCTATATGAACAACAAGAACAAACATGTACGAAAGAATAGGAAAAAACATACTGTATATGTATAGCTATTGACATTGTTAAAATACTCATGAATCACATTATTAATACGCATTAGTGACATACTTAAAACATAAGTGACCACATTCATACTTGAAGATAAAGTAACAAATAAAGTCTGTTTTATTTTTTATGGTTTCGTTGCGATCACTTGTTAGTCAGATATAGAACCTGCGATCATACAAAGTTTTATATTATTTTACGAAAAGAGCAACACGATTATTATCTTCACCTGGCATGAGAAAAATAGAAACAAAGAATGTAAAATTCTTTTTGTCTGAGTTTCTTCTTCTTTTTTCTCTGAGTTCTGTTCACGAGCTGCCGTTTCAAATTACTATCTCACGAATTATGTCAGCGAAGGAAGTTCGAATATCTGCTAACACATAAGTATCATGCACTTGGACATCAGATACCTACAGTACTCATATAAGTAACCATGTCTTTTGTACAGTCTGTAGAACAGTAGTCGTCATTGAAATAAATCTGAATGTTTCCTTTCTAAGCGTTGACGTTATTTGGCAAAACAATTAAAATATTTTTCGTTTGATTGGATTTTATTACTTTGCCATTTGTTAGAACATATTCAAGGTTAGCCTACCTATTTATAAAATTTTAATACTGTGAATGGCCTTAAGTATCGAGAATGACTAATAGGTACTGACTAATAAAACCTATAAATGATGTTTATCATATTTGAATAAATACTTATTTTTAAATGTAGGTAAACATAACGCATATTAACTTAACTACTCACATTTAATAATAAATACTTAATGAGTTTCTTGAGTAAATTTCGAAATCGCGTTAGCAGGTTATACGGAATGATAGGTAGATGACGTAAGTAGTTAACAATAGAATTGGAATTTAATTGAAACCTAGGTACACATCTTGCACGCGGCCGACTGTACCATCAATCGATTGCCCCATCTTATGAAACTTCAACTATTATGTATTAACATAATATGCATAAGAAAAGAAGATTGCTTATCTAAATTCATTTTATGTATTTTACAGCATGATGAAAGATCGAAAGCTGGCATCGAGAAAATCAACAGTTTACTAGAATCGTTCATGGGCATCAACGATTCCGAGCTAGCATCGCAGATGTGGGATCTTGCCGAAGGAAAAACAAACTCCATGCAGCTAGCGGAAGCCATCGATAATAGTGACTTACAAGAATTCGGATTCACGGACGAGTTTATAATTGAATTATGGGGTGTTATTACTGATGCTAGATCTGGTAGACTCAGTTAGAAACTTTTACCTATATTTTTTAAGATTAATAACACGAATGTTTATGTAGATAAAAGTTGCCTTAATAGATATTATAAATTGATAATTTTAGACTCTCGTAATAACGGTCAGTGACCTACTTTGAATGACTGCATGAAGCATTATTTAACTTCATAAACCGCCGCTATTTCGATCCGTTGAAAATATGAATCCCTACTTGTTTCGTTAGACAGCAGCGGTTCTGATATTATTAGTTTTACACTTGAAGTACTCTGCTATTCTTGGAACAAATTTACATTCCTAGAACCGGTCCTGTTAATGAAATAATTGGAAGTTCCACCTGTTGTTAAACCAAATAAAACCACTTGGTACTTTAATAGTCCCGTTGTGCTAAAGTTGCTCTCCCCGCTTGAGAGGCTGCAGCCAGTTCCACGTGGTGCATTCTGTCTATTTAAATGTTGAAACAATTTAAACTTTATTTTATACTCATATACTTACTACACTAACGAAGATAATCAACACTGATATTTGGATATCAGTGTTAATTATCTTTAAACAAGAGTAGGTAAGTTTTGTTATGATTTGAGTAGAATATGAATTTTAAACAACAAACTTGACACGTATACTGCCAAGTACATGATAATCTTGTAGCAAATTAAAAGTGACGACGTTGCATCTAGACAACAAAACGTGATTACTGGACTGATTAACGATTTCTACATGTAAACAAAATAAAAATGCATTTGTAAAAAAATAAATACAGATATTTCTATAAAATTGATACTTATCTAATATTAATTAAGGAAGTATATAATTTATCTATCTACACTAGACAGTTGCCTTTGTAGCAGTATATGTTGTAGGTATTATTTGTATATATACTTGTATGTAGTCATAAAAATAATGGTGCAAATTGTCTACAAATAATGGAGAATAATGGTACAAAGAAAGTTACTAGCAACACTGGGTACAAAAATTTTGGTGCATGTTTGTGTAAACGGGCGAGGTTTTGAGCATAGATGTACCTATAAGAAAAAATAGATTTTTGCAGGAATACAATTATTTACAACTGAAGTAACCTAGGGAACCTAAACTATATTTGCTTTCCTGGAATTCATTGGCGAGATAACTGGACTCATAAGTACGTTCGCCGCGTCCGTCGTATGTCTATTTAAGGGCACTCACTTACCATAGCACGGCATGGCATGGCAAAGGATTTTATTACTTATCGAGATATTTTAAATCTTAATACAATGAATTTAGAATTCATGTTACTTTATTTCAATTCCACGGTATGCTGCGACATGAGAAGTCTTGCCCTAGAATGCCACAGTTTGTTAGACGTATCGGTCAACTTGTGTCGGGGAATTATGATCGTCAAGGTAGTTGAATTAAGGATGTAACTTGTGCAGCGGTCATTTGGAGTGGGGTACGGGCCGATTGGTGCTCGACATGGCAGCATTATGGCTTGCTAGGAAGCGCAGCAGGATACCGCAGTAAAAATTGCCGTGCCATGCCAAACCGTACCGTGTAGCAGTGAGACCCGACCCTAAGCTATCTCGCCAAAAACAAGTTACCTACGTGACGTACCTACTAATTAATATTGTATGTCCCACGAAAGTTAAAAGTAAAACAAGTACAAAAAAGTTTGATTAATACCGTATAAGTAAATTACTATTCAATGAATTGTGAATTATATTAGTTGCTATTAATAAAGGAAGTCAGAAACTTTATTTGTATAAAAATTTTATTTTTTTTAATTTATAACAAAATTTTACGTTTTATCATATACCGTATTATCATGATAATGTTCTAAATAGTACATTAAATATGATCTAGTACCTAATGAATATGACATGGTGTAATGCTGGATTGTAAGTTGGAAGGTATTGTTTAAACTGAAGAGAAAATGTTTGCCTTGCTAAGAATTATTTTCCTTTTTGAGATATACGTAGCTTATTAGGTAGGTATGTATCGGTCGTCCTTTTCCTACCTATATAGATAAAAGTGTGTCTATGCCTGACGAAAGAGGTCCTATGTTATGTAGACAGGTGCACGAGTTTGAAATTAACGTCGTTTCTATATCTCACTTAAGTGCTTAAGTTATTACTTATTAGAATGTACATAACATATCAATGTACGTGATTTATTTTTATAGATATCGGTAACTGCAGATAATGAAGATATTAATATGAACGAGTCATTTATTTGTTAGAAAGTAAATCGATAAGTTTGCCTTGAGAAAGTAAGTGAGAAACTGTTTTTGAAATATTGGCTTACTCAAACGAGTAAACTGAAAAAAAACTCTACAAGTTACAAGTTAAAACGGGGCTCATATCATTGGCAGCGTGCACGTCAGCGTCGAGGCAACGTCGCGCTGCCGATTGAGTAAGTCATTATTTTCATTAAATTAAGTATGTCTCCCGATAGTTACTATTCAAAAATAGTGAGTAACTTTTACTTCTTCTCGTGTAAATTTAGATTCAGCTTTATTATTAAGTTTTAATTTTTAGTCTATTTTACCTGCTGGTTAATTTTCTGTTAGAAAAACTGCCATGTGTTGTTTTAGTACATTTATTATGTGTACCTACGACTTTACGTTAGTTAGCTTAATAGAAAATCAATTAGGAGTGGTAAAACAAGGTATAGATAACGCATTTCAATACAGCTTTCGATCTACCTACGTCAAATCGGATATAGGTTAATACTAAGTAATTTGTTTAATGTCTGCTTACCTACACTAAGTTATAAAAAACAGAAATCTTCCAAAGTATTATTTTATGAAATTCATCAATGTCAACTGGTATTTGTATAAGTGGCGATTTAAATAAAATTAGTTCCATCGAAATTGTTGTAGCACCTGGCACCTAATACCTTCTTATTATACCCAAGCCAGGTACCAGGTACCTAAGTGCCTAAATAATTGTAAAACACCTACCTATCTTATTCGTTGAAATATGTACCAGTTGATATACATGGTATTCCATAATATACGATTATTGATATCTTTATACCTAGCTGTTCCTAGATACTTAAGAAGACGTATAACCTAAGTGCCTATTTACAAAATTTACTTTTATTATTTATTAGGTAGGTACCTACGTATGTACAGTCATTAGTCATCTAGAATGTTTTTATATTAGACAATAGAAAAATATAAATAAGTATTAAAATTTAATTTAATTTAATTTCAAAGTAAAATGTAAAGAGAAACTCTATTTATGTGAAATAAATGTTTTTTTCTGTATTTTTACAATCATTTGTTTTTTGTGGTGTAGATAGGTACATAAATGATACCTAATAGTAGAGATTGAAATCTGAGTACTTAAATATTGATAAAATGTACCAAGAAGGTATATACAATATACCTAGGTAAGTGCTATATCTATACTTATATATAAAAATCAGTGCCACTTTTCGTTGCAATGTTAATAACGTAAGAATGCCTTTACCGATTTGGCTAATTTTGCTCTTGAAATATTCGTCGAAGTCCAGAGAAGGTCTGTACTTAGAGAAAATTAAAAAATATCTAAAAATTGTAAAATTTACATCCACGCGGGCGGAGCCGCGGCCGATTGCTAGTGTATACCACCGGCATTTAAATAAGTAGATATTTATAATATAGCACCCTGTTTGTTCTGTGTTTGAAGTTTGAGTCATCATTGTAAAACAGAAAGCCCTGAAGTAGGACGTATTATTTAAATATTAATTACCTTTCTGACTGCATAGACTCCGGCAAAGAATTCTACTCCTTAGCGGGCCATATTAGGTATAAAACTGTCGGCGAACCGCTTCGTGCATGTAGGTGGGATAACCACCATAAAGCGATGACGTTTTGCAGATTGTCTAGTGGTACGATGGTGGAAAGGACTAGTGGGAACCAAATTGTAAAGCTCTCCCGTATAATTTAAAAAAAAACTAATTAAATACATTCAGTTTCGTCAGATTAAGAGACACCATAAAGGAAGATATCATGGGAAAGAAAGTACATTTAAAATTTCTGCCGACTCTGTCGCGATTTACGACATTAGCAAGGTTTTGAAGGGCCCGTTTCTACTCCCTGCCTGACCTGGGCAATTCGGCCATCCAAATCGGCAGATAAAATGTTTGTTTTCAATATCAAAGATACACAAATTTTTAAGAACTATCGATTTCCCCTTTCCTCATCTGAGGAAGGAATTGTCATGATACCCTTGTTACCTTATTACCTATCACATCACCGAATCTTCAAAATCGAGTTAGTCTCTAGTCCTACAATGCTTGAGTAACCTACTGGAAATTTAGCATCCTGGCCACACCAAGTATAAGTCAAGCGCGGATCCAGCCTTCAGAAAAGGTTGTGGTCACAGCTACTAGAAAATCGGTTAAGTACGAGTCGGAGCATGGACATGCTCATTAACAATCATGCAAATCGTTTATGAACTTATGAATTAGATTATTTCCTTTTTTCTGAGCATCAGGACTAGCCTTAGGAATGTAAATAAACTAAGGAAGAAGTCGGACACGATTTCTTCTAATTTCTAATAGTCAGTTTCGATCCAAACCTATTTCAATCACAAGTGTAATAAGGTTGTGGGCATGCCCATCGTGCCCACAACGGTGGATCCGCCCTTGGTATAAGTAGTACCTACTGTAGTTTAAAAAAATGGATTAAAAGCACACAATATTGACTAATATTATAAAGAGGTATTTGTAAGTTTGTACGTTGGTATGTACGGGGTAATCTTTGGAACCGCTGGTTGAATTGCCAAAATTATTTCACTGGTACTGGTTCCTGAGTGCTATGAAACATCACGCTACGATTAAATGGAACCGAGCAGCGGGTGAACCCGCGTGAGAGTAGCTAGTAAGTACTAAATAAACAGAAAAAATATTGAAATCATCTACTTAGAAGACACCGTAAAGAATATAGTAGCGGTGTGTCCTGCTTGGGCTGAGCACTGCCCTACACAAGGAAGCTATCGGTGGCGGCAGCCTCCTTCCGGACAGTTTTGGTTGGTTCTATGGTTTAAATCGAAAGGAACTGGGAAGTCCCTTGTTGGAAAAGTAGGAGGTGGAGCACAGCAGGAGCTCGCCGTCCGGCCCGAACCGGGGCGAATGTGCTTTCTCTGCGGAATTCGATCTCACGACACGTCGTAGATCAACCAGTTGATCAGCTCCTTTTAACACATTACCTACAATGTCCCAAATAACGGCAGGAGGAGTTACCATCGGCGTCGAGTCGGCAATGAAGTACCTGGGTCTCGTCCTCGACAGCCGATGGAACTTCACGGAGCATTTTCGTCGTTTGGCCCCTAAGTTGGAACGGTCTGGGGCCTCGCTCAAGCGGCTCCTTCCCAACCTCGGGGGGCCAAACGCCTCCTGCCGGAGGTTGTATATGGGGATTGTGCGATCCATGGCCCTCTACGGTGCCTCTACGGACTTGAAGCGGCGGCCGGCTCGTACGCTGGTCGCGTCCCAGAGGGTCATGGCTATACGAGTAATCCGCGGGTATCGCACGATCTCCGGGGAGGCGGCGAACCTCCTTGCCGGATCACCGCCGTGGGATCTAGAAGCGAAGGCGCTCGCGCGCGTCTACAGTTTGCGCGCAGATGCGCGTCGCCGGGGCGAAGATCCTCTGCCGCGCCAAATAAGTGCGTGGCGGAATGAGCTCCGGCGAGATCTCATGGCAGAGTGGAGACAACGACTGTCGCAACCGAGGGCCGGGCACGCTACCATAGCAGCGGTAAGACCCCTCTTTGAGGAGTGGCTTGAGAGACGCCACGGCGTCCTCACCTTCCGTCTGACGCAGGTGCTTACCGGGCACGGCAGCTTCGGTAGGTTCCTGTTTCGGATTCAGCGGGAGGAAACGCCCGAGTGTCGTCATTGTGAGGACCACCTAGAGGATACGGTGGAGCATACGGTAGCGGTATGCCCTGCCTGGGCTGAGCACCGCCGTATCCTCAGGGAAGTGATCGGCGGCGGCGACCTCTCGCGCCCGGCCTTAGTCGAGGCCATGGTGCGGAGTGAGAGGAACTGGGACGCCGTCTCCTCCTTTTGTGAAGCAGTCATGCTCGCAAAGAGAGAGGCGGCCCGCGTGAGGGAGCAATCCTCCTCCTCACGCCCCAGCAGCCGCAACTGGCGACACTACGGGCGTCGGGGATCGAGGGACGATCTCCGGCCACCGTAAGTACGGGCCTGCGGTCGGCGAGTAAGGGCAGCTCGCCGCCCGACCAGAACCAGGCCCGAGCGTACGGCGCGTAGCGTTCCGCGCGCGCCTCAAAGAGCCAATAGACCACCACAGACGGGGCCCTAAAGGGCTGATGTTCAGCCGGGGTTGCGGGGTAAGCGCAATGAGGTACCGCGACCTCGGCACAGAGCAGGAGAAGGAACAGGGGGGTTTTTAGTCAGTAAGAGTCTGACACTCCCTCCTGCCCGGCCCTGGGCGGGAGAAGTCATTTGATGATTTTCGCCTCACAAAAAAAAAAAAAAAACCTACAATGTTTTAAAACAGTACCTAACCAGTAGGAAGGTACTTAAAATAATGATATTTATAAAATAACCCAAAGTTTTGAAGTAGAAGAAGGCCTTATTATTCTTTCTATTGTCAGTTCAACATCATTTAGCCTGCAAGCACCAACTGCTGAGCAAAAATCTCTTCTCATACGGAGAATTTTTGAGCATTAATGACCACGCTTGCTCAAGGCGGGTTGGCGATTTCAAACTTAAACCTACCTAATTAGAAATTATAAGTCTGGGTTATGTTTTCCTTCACCGTATGCCAGTCGTCTTTAAATAATTTTAGAGAATACAAATAATTCGGAAAGAATCACATAAGTAGGTAGGTACCTACTTTCCATACCCACACCCTCATGCGCGTGAAGCGGTCTCGTTAACCTCCGGGCCACCACGACTATTAGTTACGGTAGGCTACTACTCCACTACTCCGAATTTATTTGTATATAATTTATGGAAGCCTATCAACTGGACAGCTGTTTATAGTAGGTATTATGTACTGCAAAATTATAAAAATAAATACGAATAAAGGCATAATAAAGAGCGCAACTTGACATTTTGATATATATCTAGGTGTTTTCGATAAGGTACCGCATGTTTTATACGGAAGCAAGTCAATAATAACCAGATCAACAGGATTATCAACTTGATGTAAAATTAAATGGTAGAGGTAACTTGCAAACAGTTCTTGTTCATAAATAAAACAACTAAGTATTCTCTAGCTTACGAGCCCCCGGTTGACCTCGAGATAGTGAGACAAACAACTGCTAAAGTGCTAAATCTCAGTTTCTTTATCTACTTTATCGCGGTTGGTAACACAGTCTTGCACCTCCTCCAAAAATTCAAGTTGACATTAAATAAGTAAAAATTTGAATCCGTGAAGTGCACAGTGTATTGCTTGTATGTGAAAAGTTTTTTATTTTAGTGACAATATTGTTATTGTTATCCATGTACTTAATAGTCTTTTATATTACTGTTTCAAAAACAAGTGAATAAGTACAATACGCACTTTATTCGGGCCGACCGTGACATTGGCTGTTTCATTAATTAGTTTTTTAAACAGCGTTAATATTAATTGTTAATGTGAATTTTAATCACTAAAACTTAATCAAGACGTATTGCTTATTATTTTAGTGCTAAAACGATGGCGTCGACGATGTTGGGCAGGATATTTGTGATAAAATCAAATGGCTTTTCAAAAAATAAAGTATACACTATCACAAAGGTAGGTAGAGTTAATTTATTGTTTACCTTTACTTTCGTAAGTCATTTGATGAAGTTATTTACTTTCTGTTATCTATTGTTGCAGATATTCTCTTGTGCCAGCTATAGCACAGCCAGTCGTTCAAACAAAATTTACGAAAGTGCTAAAGAAGCTGTCAGTGATATTCAGGATGGATCAAAGTTATTGGTTGGTGGTTTCGGATTGTGTGGAATACCAGAAAACCTGATTGTGGCTGTTAAAGATAAACGTGTTTCTGGTCTTACTGTAGTCTCTAACAATGCAGGTGGAATTTATTTAAATGTATTATTTCATTTAACATAATGTTGAACAAACAGACAGAACTTACTACATCTGTAATCTAAATATTTTGCAGGAGTTGAAGACTTTGGTCTTGGTATTTTGTTGAAAACCAAACAAGTAAAGCGGATGATTGCTTCATATGTTGGTGAGAATGCAGAATTTGAGAGACAGTTTTTGAGTGGAGAGTTGGAGGTTGGTATTTGAAGTATGTGATATATATATAGTGTGGCAATATAGATATAAGTACTTAGTGTAAGTATGTTTACATTGCTTTTATTTTAAATAGGTATATTACCTAAATTCTTTGTCACTAGGTTGAACTGACTCCACAAGGCACATTGGCAGAAAGGATCCGTGCGGGTGGTGCTGGTATACCAGCTTTCTTCACTCCAACTGGTTTTGGCACTCTTATACATGAAGGTGGATCTCCCATTAAGTATACTAAAGATGGAAAGGTATGTTCTATCAATAAAAACGTTTAATTTAACTTACTTATATAATCTCTTATAATGTGCAATTAAAAGTAGTTTTAAAAAGATATAGGTAAATGATATTGCTTTTAATTATGTTTTAGATCGCTATTCCAAGTGCGGCCAGACATGAACAGCAGTTCAACGGAAAGAATTATATAATGGAGGAGGCTATTACTGGTGATTTTGCCCTTGTAAAAGCATGGAAAGCTGATAGGCATGGCAACCTTATTTTCAGAAAAAGTGCAAGAAACTTTAATCCTGCCATGTGCAGGGCTGCTAAGATCACAATTGCAGAGGTGGAGGAAATTGTTGATGAAATTGACCCTGACTTTGTACATGTACCATCCATATTTGTACATAGAGTAATTAAAGGAGAAAAGTATGAGAAACGGATTGAAAGAAGGACAGTTCAAAAGCCAGCTCAAGCTGGCAAGAAGTCAGATTCAATGAGGGAGAGAATCATTAGGAGAGCTGCTTTGGAATTTAAGGATGGAATGTATGCTAACCTTGGAATTGGTAAGTTGTAATTGACTGTCTGTGACTGAGTCAAGATGTGGTGCTATCTCTGTAATTCCTTTTATGTTGCAAAGCTCTGTAAACATGCTAATCCCTTCATATACACTATACTGTTGATAAATACAGGTTTATCTTCTGTGAAAGTTTTTGCAGATATTCAATATCTTTATATTTTCAGGTATGCCTATGTTGGCAAGTAATTATATACCACAGAATGTAAAGGTGTTCCTGCAGTCTGAAAATGGTATTCTGGGCCTCGGTCCTTTCCCAACTGAAGAGAATGTGGATGCTGATCTTATTAATGCAGGCAAAGAAACTGTAACTGTACTGCCTGGTGGGTAAATTAAAAATATGTTAATGTCTTTATTTTATGCTTGTTTACTTCTTTCACATAATTTATTTCATTATTTCTTTTGTACAGGTTCATCATTCTTTTCATCTGATGAGAGTTTTGGCATGATCCGTGGTGGCCATATTAATTTGACTATTCTTGGTGCTATGCAAGTGTCTCGATATGGTGATTTGGCGAACTGGATGATCCCTGTAAGTGTTGTATAATCTGTTATGTACCAACATCATTATCTTAATGTAAAGAAGATGTGTATGCATGAAATGCTTGTTATGTTTTCAGGGTAAAATGGTGAAAGGCATGGGAGGGGCGATGGACTTGGTTTCAGCTCCAAGAACTAAAGTGGTTGTAACTATGGAACACACTGCCAAAAATGGAGCTCATAAAATACTGCCCGAGTGCACTCTTCCACTCACTGGTAAAAATTGTGTTGATATGATTATCACGGAAAAGGTGAGTAATATTTAATTTGTAGGTATTTGTCATATTAGTGAAATTCTAGTAAAAACTTGTGTAAACACATTTTCTTTCCTTTTAGTGCGTGTTTGAAGTCGACAAAGAAAAAGGTCTTACACTGACTGAACTGGCCGATGGAGTAACAGTAGAAGATGTGTTGGTTAGCACTGGGTGCGAAATAAACGTCGCTGAAAAAATTAAGAAAATGGGTGATGTCACTCAGCCCGATTCTGAATAAGTTTTACATACAAAATAGGATACCCAACGCATTTAAGTGCCTTAAAACGTATTTTATATACAATAACTTTCAATCTATATACATAAATAGTAATTATATATTCACAAATGTCTTGCCATTACAAATATTATTTACATACGTATAGTAAGTCAATGATTGCATAGCCTTTAAGATAACTTTGTTATTATTGATATTTTATACAATTATTTTGGATACACATAGACATTAGACATTATGTTGTAATTTTGCTCAAAATCCAAACATAGATATTATGATGAAAAATATAATAATAATTGGTTGGAAAACTTCTGTTACATCACAAGTGTGATGCAGCATATGTAATGTACTTATCAAAAATGTTATCAGTCAAGGTTGATTAAATTAATATTAAATTCATTCCTATTATACATATTTAATATTGTTTTTGATGGTATAATCTATTTCTAGTCTCGAAATAAGTCTTTATTTACACAAAGAATTGATATTTTCATAACATTTTATTGTAAATGATGCAATTTTAATTTTAAACATTTATTTTTTTTGATGCTTATGTTATAAATATTTCTGTTATTGCATTTGTTATAATGTTGATGATTTAAATATAATTTACCTAAATGTTTAAAATAACGCGTTTAATTCTAAACATTTTGACTTATTTGTTAAATAAACATATAATTAATTATTTTAAGTTCTAGACTCTTTGAAAGCAAAGAGTATTATAGGTATAGATAAAATGGAGAGTGATACCAAGAGTATGTATACACCGATTAGGTGGCGCCCATAGATTACGTGAGATGATATGGGGGGAGAGGATCGAGTCAAATCTTATCTAATCTCTCGTTGGGGGTCTCGACAAAATATATAATTTTAGTAGTCTTGTTAAATAACTCTCAGCTCAATATTGATTACCTCCTAGTCGTAAATAAAAGCATGAAGCAAATTGTTTTATCTTTAAAATAACAATCGAACGCGTTTACGTAAGAAACACCGCACGTGAGATTTGGGGGTAGGGGAGGCGGTTGAACAAAATCGTACGACATTGCAACAAGACGGATTATTAACACATTGCGGTATTTACGGAAGCTTCCTCATGGTATAAAGTTGAATTCATAGATGCGGGCGACTGGGGAATACATAGCATAACTAAGTGCAAATAAACCTACATTTCCTCTTCCACGAGATTCACTTACAGACAATTTAACATTCTATTTCTAAAGTGTGGTGTTGATGTAATAATTAATGTTTTGAATTACGTTTATGGACCTTCTTATTAATACACATACATTTCATAACATGCAGTAAAAGTAAGGAGTGCTACTTACTTCTATCGCTAGATTCAACATAATTATAGTATCTATTCATTCACAGAACAATGAAGACCGCTTTAAATATCATAACAGGTATGGTACTCTGACGCATTCCGCAACGTAGAAACTAAGTCGGAGGTTGTATATGGGGATTGTGCGATTCATATGGCCCTCTACGGCGCCCCTGTGTGGGCGCCGGACTTGAAGCGGCGGCCAGCTCGTACGCTGGTCGCGTCCCAGAGGGTCATGGCCATCCGAATAATCCGCGGATATCGCACGATCTCCGGGGAGGCGGCGAACCTCCTTGCCGGATCACCGCCGTGGGATCTAGAAGCGAAGGCGCTCGCGCGCGTCTACAGTTTGCGCGCAGATGCGCGTCGCCGGGGCGAGGATCCTCTGCCGCGCCAAATTAGTGCGTGGCGGAATGAGCTCCGGCGAGATCTCATGGCTCAGTGGAAGCAGCGACTGTCGCAGCCGAGGGCCGGGCACGCTACTATAGCAGCGGTAAGACCCCTCTTTGAGAAGTGGCTTGTGAGACGCCACGGCGTCCTCACCTTCCGTCTGACGCAGGTGCTTACCGGGCACGGCAGTTTCGGTAGGTTCCTGTTTCGGATTCAGCGGGAAGAAACGCCCGAGTGTCGTCATTGTGAGGACCACCTAGAGGATACGGTGGAGCATACGGTAGCGGCCTGGGCTGAGCACCGCCGTATCCTCAGGGAAGTGATCGGCGGCGGCGACTTCTCGGCCTTAGTCGAGGCCATGGTGCGGAGTGAGAGGAACTGGGACGCCGTCTCCTCCTTTTGTGAAGCAGTCATGCTCGCAAAGAGAGAGGCGGCCCGCGTGAGGGAGCAATCCTCCTCCTCACGCCCCAGCAGCCACAACTGGCGACACTACGGGCGTCGGGGATCAAGGGACGATCTCCGGCCACCGTAAGCACGGCCCTGTGGCCGGCGAATAAGGGCAGCTCGCCGCCCGACCAGAACTAGGCCCGAGCGTACGGCGCGTAGAGTTCCGCGCGCGCCTCAAAGAGCCATTAGACCACCACAGACGGGGCTCTAAAGGGCTGATGTTCAGCCGGGGTTGCGGGGTAAGCGCAATGAGGCACCGCGACCTCGGCACAGAGCAGGAGAAGGAACAGGGGGGGTTTTAGTCATTAAGAGTCTGACACTCCCTCCTGCCCGGCCCTGGGCGGGAGACGTCATTAGATGATTTTACCCTCACAAAAAAAAAACGTAGAAACTAAGTATCTGATATTTACCATGTCTTTTGCCTTACTTTGCCTAAAAGTAGGTGAGTTGGATACCTACCCAACGTCATGTGTAAAAGATAACAGAACTTTATAAATAATTTATTTTGGTCTATGACAATGACATCATTGTTAGAACAATTAAAATTAAAAAAAAAACCGATTGTGATAAGTGTCAGGGTTGAATTAATGGTTCTTTACGATAAGATTTATTTACAAGATAATTACGTAGTATATTAATTTAATACTAATAGGTTTACTTGGTTTATATACCTACTTGCGTGTTATTACGGAAATAGTTATTTAATCACTTACCAACATGACGAATATGGCTTCCCCAAATCACCCTTTTATTGTGTGGGGAGCGTGTTACTTATGGCTCGTGTCCTTGTTTGCTATAACTTGGTCATTGCTTTTATTTTTTTGTGAGTATCAAGTTGATTGTAGGTACTTGAGCTGGTCACTTACAAGTGGCGGATCTCTAATAAGTTTGGTAGGTACTGCATGAGATAGCAGGACAGGTCTATGTTCAGCAGTCGTCTTGAGTATATCTTGAGACATAATTGATGCGACAGACAAAGCCTCTATGACAGGCATATTCACTGTACCAACCAGGCTGCCTAGTTGGTTCTCGGCAAAATTTCACTGGACGTTCACATCATCATCAGCCTGATGTCGTCCACTGCTGGACATAGTCCTCCCCAATTGCACGCCACTGAGCTCGATGTTTAGCTCTTCTCATCCAACCACTGCCTGCCACCCTGCGGATGTCGTCAGCCCACCTAGCTGGAGGGCGTTATGTGTGTTTATATGTTTTCCTAGACGTGGTCTCCATTCTAGAACACGTTTACCCCAACGGTCATCGGTTCTTCGACAGTTCTCCACTTCAGTTTGCTAATCCTTGCGAGCGTTACCAATATTTTGATCGAAATAATACAAAAAAATATACTAACTAAATTGTAAATAATTAGAACTCAATTAGCCAATTAGGTACTTTTTATTAGGTTATTTTGCTGTGCCCTACAGGGTCCATAATTGATCTCACACAAATTGTTACTTGTACCTTTAAATGTACTTATGGAAAAGCAATAAAGATATTGAGTATTGAGTATTGAGTACCTACCTACCCCCAGAACACTTTCTTACAAAATGTCCAACCTCTGTCTCTAGGTGTTGGTGATATATTGATGTTAACTGGAACAGACGTGGTTAACGCGATTGTTTTGCTATCTGGAATTATAATGCTACCAACTAATGTACACATTCTATGTTCTATAGCAAACGGTAGACGAATTGAGTAAGTTTGCCCTTTTTTATACTTTGCTGGTTACTGCTGTACGGTACTAAACTAAATGATGTTATTTATTATTTTTTAATTACAGTTATAAGTCTAAGGTTGTTTGCTGTCCGTTGTGGCTGTGCGTTGTATGGATAGTAATAATAAATCTTTTGGGTGCTGCGTGTTGCCTTCAAAAGATTTATTCTGGCAAATATCCAACTCTTGAAAAGATAGACAAGACCATAAGGCATTACCGGAGTGTTCCAAAGTATAAACATTTTGTTGATAACTTGCAGTGGTCCTTGAAATGTTGTGGGGTATGTAACAGTAGATTTTTTAGTTTATTTTCATTAAACTAGTATAGTTACCTAAGTATTACCTACCTCAAGTATTCTGATCCTGAATATAAGTACTTAGGTGATTCTTTTCAATGCTTCCATTACTGGGAAATTTATTATACTCATCTGAGCATAATACAGTATATCAGATAAGTAATTACCTGCTTTGGTTTTAAGTGTGGGAGAGCCATGACTCGGCACTGATGGTCTGGCTCGACCGGAGTGATACCACCGACATGAAACAACGCTTTTTCGCAAATTCTCTGGAGTTGTAGTCGTTTAACGGCCGATTGCTTTTACTATCGGTTTGGCTTATTATCACCTAAAAAGAAACAAAAAAGGTACGAACAGGTATATCTACATACCTACTTACAACTAATTATTTGGTTATTTCAGCTTAATTCGTATAAAGATTGGTTTAACCATGATTGGTACGACAAAATACGTGATTACGAATGGGATCCGAGTGCTAATAAACGTAACGGATTAAAGAAAAGAGATTTGGAAACTTTGACTGACAGCGTTCCATTAAGGTTCAGTATTCTATTCATAAGTTAAGGATATAACGTCAGGGTGTCGAGAGCGAGTGCATTGAAACTTTATAACATTTTTTAGCCGTTTGATTGGTTAGATAATTTGTAGTAGGCCAATCAGAGGGCCAAACGTCATCGTCAGTCTGAACTCTGATTTGTATCACAATTAACTGTAGGTATTATGTGCATCAAAGAGCAAAATAGACCATCACAAATAGGGCCCGACATGGCCAATGCTTAGCCGCTTGTGGGACAAGCGCAATAACGTTCCGCGGCCTCAGCCTGGTGGAGTCTGAAGTTCCTTTTCGCCACACCCTGGGCGAGAGAAGTCGTTTGATGATTTTCCTTCCACAAAAATGGTAGGTAGCAAGTATATTTAGTAAACTGTTTGGTACCTACAGGATCCTTTGAAGTTCGCAGCCTATGACTTTTTAATGCTGTGGTCTGACAAGCAACTTTTATAATACGTTCACACTGATGTTTGGTTTCAATTTTACAGTTGCTGTAAAAGTGGTTCATGCATATCGAATTATCTGCTCGAATTGGGAACGCATTCAATAAACACTAAAGGATGTGGGAATTTAATGTATCGCATTATACTGACATCAATGATAGCTCACCTAATTATGTTCGTTTCTGTAATTATTGTTGAGGTATGTCGTTTTTATCGGTCAAGTTATCCTAATAATTAAAATATTATTTAAAGTAACTGATAAGTAGGTACATAGGTACCAATTTATAATAGGTACCTACTAAAAAAGAAGACAATTTTAAATATTTTACTTGAACAACTTGGTTCCAAAACATTTATGTTAATGCCTATTTTATTCTCAACAGCTTTTAGTTCTACGGTATATAATTAAAAATTGTCCATGTCCTAAGGATAAAAGGTCCATGAATATGAATGTACGTCACATAATGTCTGTGAATGATCGTTTCGCCTCCAGTAACTCACTTCAAATGAATCCCGATGATACAGATTATGAGAATGAAGTTCATCTTGGGGATGTACGAATGGATGGTTCAGGGTTAGTTTATTGCATACTTTGGCGTATATACATAACCCACATTTATTAAATAACTTTGTCTCTAGTCTTTGTATTAATTCATCGTAAACCTCATAAGAGGACGGCAAACTTCCACCATGTAATGTTTGTTTGGGTATCTAAGGGTAGCGCGAATAGCTTATCATCTGGTGATTTGTCTGCTCTTTTAACTTCTGTTTCCCTAAAAAGAAGACGACCCCGAGAATGTTGATTTTCGAAATGATAATTTCAGTTAATTTAATTTTTGCCTTCTCAGAATGACGATAGTCAATCGAGCAGTTGAAGATGAAGATTCAGAAAGTGCGAAGGATACGAAAAAGTGGAGATATGAGGATGATTAGTTTGTAGTTAGTTTGTATTTAATTTACCCTTTTAAAATGTTTTAAATAAAATAAATCACAATAAACACATATTACTTATTTCTTAACAGAAGTGTTTCCGAAAGTTGTCAATGTCCATCAGTAGTGCCAATAGGGAACGACGGAATATGTTCGTTTCTTAAGGTGGACAAAGAGAATGATTTAAATATCGTCACATTGGCCACCAACGGGATTGGGGTCGAAGCGGGTGTGCGACAACGAAAAACAGTTTTTCTTTAGTCTAATTCTAAACCGTTCCGTGCTAACCGCCAGTTTTTGTATTTCGAATTAAAGGAAGGACAATAAGATTCAAAACACTAAACCTGACTCAGTGGTTTACACCTAGTCTGAAGATAAACATTGTTTTGTAATAAAGGGATAAAGTCTAAATATCAATATTTTTAAATATACCTATTATTCTTATTATCAGGGTTTATTCCCAAAAAAAATAAACTATTCAAAGCACAGTTATTCAGGTATAAAAAAACATTGATTCCGTTAAATAGTAAAATTAACGATAAGTCTATGGCAAATTTTATGGCATTTGACAGTGACAGTGTCAATGTCAATGTGTCAAAAGAAAAGGCAAGACCCTTCAAGTAGGGTGTTTGGTGTTTGTTCGTTGTCTTATCGATCTTTAAAAGAAACATCATTATTTATATCATTAATTGGAACATGTGAGTAAATAAAATATCAAATATGCTCAAATGACATCAATCTACATTCTTAGCAAGTAATGGAAAACTAATTTACAAACATAACCTCAATTTCAGTTTACCATGGTGTTCCTTACAATTGCTAACTGGATACGTTCCCGAGGGCCAGATGAGATTTGGAGAAAAAGAAGGATGTTTAGGCTTGCTGCACACTATATAGGACGCCGTAGAAACTGTTACTCTATCACTGTACGCAATGTTCACAGAGCATTAGTTTACGCAACTAAAGCAAGGAAGTTGAAGAAGCAAGATATGATTGACCTATGGAGTACTAGAATCACAGCGGCTTGTGAACAACACAACATTACACCTTGTACATTAAAGGAGGGCTTGGACCGTGCTAATATTATGTTAGATCGTAAATCACTGTCTGATCTTGCTTGTTGGGAGCCACGGACATTTGAATGTTTAGCTGCTGTAGCCAAACAGAAGTTAGAGTATGATGGAGCCATTGACTATACTGATAAGAAATACCCTACAGGTGTGAATCTAAAACTGCAAGATGTTATGCTTGAAGCTTGGCTGAAGGAAAAAAAACAATAACTTAATTCAACATTTTATTACCTATCATCTAGTTATTTTAGTTTCACATTAGTTCTGTAAATAATAAAAAATACTTTATACAAATGTTTTTGATTAACTAGTTTCCTAATTCTTTCTTCAGTTTCTTTGTTAATTCATTTTGTTTTTCTAATATGTAAAGGTTTTCTATTTTACGTCTCTGCTGTCTCTCAACATCCTTTACTACTCCTTCATGCATTCTTTCCCTGAAATGTGAATTATATTATTATACAAAGTAAGTGAAATCATGCTAGTAGATATAAACATGTAAGTACACATCTTGTCTGATATTTATTAACTAAAGCTTTCTTGTATTAGATATAAATTTGAAATGATAGGGACATGCATAATATTATGTTATTCGTTTGTTACCTGTCTGCTTGCTGTTTTATGTGCACATAGGATACAATACCCAATGTTACTGAACATGAAAGCAGTAAAACTAACTTAGACGTTCTCGATGACATTTTTACTTAATTAACTTTGCAGTGCACTCAATACATTGTTAGATTACAGTTATTATCGTTTAAATTCCAAGATAGTATTGTTCAATCGAGGAAATGGGAAATGTTGTTACGGTAACTGTCATCTACCAAGACGTTATCTGTCACTGTCACCGTGTGTTTTTTGTCATGTCTTTTTTTTTTGGAGTTTATGGCCTGGATACTAGGTTTTGTCAGGTTGGTACAGTGTAGTGTTACCAATTTAAATATTTTGTTTCATTAGTTATTACTTAAGTAGGTACACGTATTGTACAGTTTATTTATAATGTGATCTTATTAGTACTAGTACCTATTTTGTTAATGAGATAAATAAAACATACATATATTGGTGTTTTTTATTTTTTATAATTATTATTGTATTTATTGTAAATTATTTATACGCAGTAACCTACATGATTACTGCGCATTTTAACAATCGTAATTGTATTACATCCTGGAGCCGCCTCCACTCAAGGTATGGGTGACCAACTACTTCGCTGATGACGAAAGGAAAAAAAATATTTGATTTGGCAAATGTTCAATCCAGGTTCAGGTGTTGTCGAATTATGAGCTTAACAACACATTTTGCGAATCGTTGTTGTATAAAGGTACATACCTATAAAGTAAATATAATTTTCTAGAAATTTGAATTTAATGAAACACTGATAGAATAAAAATCAATTTGTGTTCAATATTTTTTTTATTAGACATTGATAGTATCCAATTACTTAGGTAGGTAAGTCGGTACTATGTTCATTGCTAGGTACTAGAACAATTGTACGGTTTGGTACCTACAATAGCTTAAAGTACCTAATTACAAATCTAAAAGACGATAGGGAACCAATATCATAAGATGAAACAGCACCTAGGTGTACAGTAAAAATAAGTTGTACTAACATTTTTGTAATCATTAGATGTAATAATAAAATGTAGGTATTTAATGAGTTATGATCATTTTGACTTTTGTCCTAAGATCATTGTTTGACTATTAGGTTTGTTTCATGTTTAAACATTTGGTTCCAAATAATGAAACAGACGCACAGAAATCATTACCATTGCCTTGGCAACAAAAATGTGCTTGAATGTTACTATAAAACGACCAACCTTTTGTTTCTTGGACGTATTTTACAAAAACATAAATAAAAAATTATATATCATAAGTATTTACAAATGTTTCTTATTAACTAACTTTATTACAAAAACTTTGAGTATTCCGCTAATTGTAAGAGAATTATAACTAGGTAGGCTTAATACAAAGTTAGGTTCAGTCAGTTACTGAGAATTTTGTAACAATATAAATATTTATACTACCTAAATTAAAAAAAAATACACAAGTAAACAATATTATTTAAAATCTTGAAAACATATTCGGTAAAATTATAAATCGTGTAAGTAGAATATTTACAATAGGTAGGTAAGTAGTAATTTCAAATTAGTTGAGACAATTTGATAGGTCTGTATGTGTGACAATTTGATGGGTCTATTTATATTTATTATTATTACATGCACACAAATAAAAAAAAAACGTTTGGAGGGCAATTTATAAAAAAAAGAATGGGTATGAATGACACTGGGTGTTAAAGTGTGTAATCAAATTAAAAAATATACATATAACACTTTTGTCTCCTCCGATGTTAAATTGTATAAATATTGGTCATCGATCAATAATCTCCTGTCTAGGTTCAAACCAAGTTTGTAACAACTTAGCGTGAACGTAGTAGGTACTTATCTACCAATAGAAGTAGACATAACAGGGGCTTATTGAAAATCGATGAATTTGATAACCAATACAATTTAGTCCCTAATGTAAATCTACCTACATGCAACAAAACAAGTGTTCATAATTTAAATAAACTCATGTACATGTTCACCCTGTAACAACTGCACACTGAAAACAATCACTGGTGTAATAATTACACTTCGACAAATGTTTCCTTTTCGTTACTACGTCCACTTTTTATTTAAAGCTTACTCGCAGAGTCTCTATAAATAGACAGTTAAGTCTATAGTGGGAAGCCTACTGTTTATTATGGCACAGCTACCTGCCGCAGTTGTCATAGAAACTGGCAGAGCCTCGGTTGGGAATTTCAGCAAACTCGCGTTTTGGTGTGCACAATTTTGTGCTGAAGTCGACGTTTCTTTTCCTGTAAAACGAGAGTTAGTACACTTATGAAGAATGACTGAAAATGTTGAATAAAACTAATAATAAATAATCAATAGAGCATAATACCCTCTGCTTGGTAGTTCCATTTGGTCGACGAGAACTGACTTGACGTACAATCGGTCATTACACCATAGTATGCAAAGAGATCGCGGCTCCAGTACATTCATGTCGTACTCCCACGATAACTCCACCTAAATTTTTAAAAATAAAATATTACTTATCTGCCCCAGATCACTCTTTTCTTAATGAATTAATTTCGAGGAAATTCTTTATGTACCTTTCTAACTTTTCCACCCAAGTCCACAGGGTGAGTGACCACTATGGTGTAGGTAGTGCCATGTTCTAATCTGTGAATTAAAAAGTTTTTAGATGGTCATTTAGTTATCCAGACACAATAAAGTAAGTAGTATAAAAGATAATATCAGATCAACACTCACTTAACGTAGTTATTTGGTGTTAAATCCATTCCTCTGATTACGCCTCTATCAGACATCAAAGTTACTTTGAGGAAACCCTGTTGAAAAAAAACATATGTAAGTATAAAGGTTGGTAGGTACTAATTTATTCTTTTTAGTGACTGTTCACAAAGAATTTTCTTGTATTTCTAGACATAGGCATCTCGAGTAGCGCACTGTTGAGGTTGATTTTCAGTTCAGCTCACCGCTTTGAGAGTTTATGCGGTTGCATACTTGTAGCTTTTTGGTATTTGGGCTGTATAGCGGCTTAATTTATTTTTAATTTTTTGTGGAAACAGATTTTCCGTTGCAGCAAACAACAATGTAAATAGTTAATGATGTTACCTGCACCCACGATTCTGCTCCTTTAGGATTTGCCAACTGGATAGCTACACGGTAATGCCGCTCTGAAACATAAGACAAAACAATCAATGTTTCAGGGGTGATATCGTCTGATAGTTACATTTACAATGAGTATTTTTATTTGGTTGAGATTACAATTAAGACAAATCCAATTATTGGTTAAAAGTGGAGGCTTGCTGATTTAACCACTTAAAGGGGCATCAATAAGCTTCTGATTAATTTGCCTGTCGAAAATAAAGTACAGTGTCAACTTTTAAAAAATTCTATAAAAACAAATATCAATTTTACCTATATTTCTTTCCAATCGTTTAATAAATGCAAATGTGGCCTGGAAAACATTGTGCTGTAAAAACTATATTTGATTTTAATAAAAAAAAACATATTAAAATTCAACGCATTGAAATCTTTTTTCCCATTTTCAAAGCACTAAGAATCATCAATCAATCACTCAAGCGCGCAGTCACTAGAATCGGAAGATAGTGATATTGATATACAGAAAAGAGTTTCATAGCCGTGCACTTGTTATACTTAATCAATAAAATTGCAAAAAAAAGGCTGTGGACTACGTATTTGACTACTACACGTAGTTCACAGCCGACTTTTGTTATTCGTTTCGAAAAGATGTTTTGCGAAAATGCAATCGATTAACCAGTCCAAAATTATTAAGAAATCTTTTTAGCAAATATTATATTACTAAACCACATTCTAAATAAGCGAGTATTGTGTTGTAACATGAGGTTGAAAGCAATCAGCCACATGCCGTTATTAGGGAGAAAGGAACCTCATTTCAGATGTAATGTCGTAATGGATAGTTTCTCAAGGGTCAACTGCACTACGTCATGATGAACCCTATTCAGCAGCAATGAATAGGTAATGATTTGTTATCCTAGTTTAGACTTTAATCAATATATATATTGCTCTTCGGAAGGGGAATAGATCTCTGATCAGTAATTTAAATGCAAAGTCATCTTTATCCATACCTTTAGCTATCGAATATGTTTAGCTAGCTTTTGCCTGCGACTTCGTTTGAGGGGAATAGTCACTTCCTGCAGATTTTTTATATAAATACTATCCTATGTCCTATCTCGAGTTCTAAACTATGTCTGTACTAAATTTCACATAAATCGATTCAGTAGTTTAGGAGTGAAGAAAAGACAGATCGACAGACAGAGTTAGTTTCGCATTTATAATATTAGTATTGTAGTATAGATATAGATAATAGAACTTTGCATTTTACGCCTAATGTGTTAAATAATACTTACGACAATAAGGTAGATCCTTGCCCGTGCTGAGGTAATATTTAGCACCGATAGTATCGTGCTCCTCAGATGGAAACACCTCATTCTCAGATTGATTATTTTTGTTCGTAATCAAACCCGGGGAGCTGTCTGCGTGGAATCTATTAGACCAAGAAATATTTGTCAAAATTCCATAAGAATCATAAAGTCACAATTTGTTTTAACAGATATAATATAACATACCCCATGATTGCACAACCGTGTCCGCAATGGAAACATTTCCCTGTTAGGAAATGTTGGTATGACGGGCATTGATGTCCTGAAAATTTGGTTGATATGCTTGTTAAACTCTCATGGTAGTACCATAATTATAGACACGGAATTCACTTTCTTACCTTAAATAATGCAAAACTATTCAAACAATTTTTCTTACCTATATAGGAACATTTTCCATTGATAGATTCTGTGAAAAGTTTAATAGCTCTAACGTGGTTGCAGGCTACTAATACCCTGGAAGCTTCTTCAAGTCCTTGTTTGACTAGTGTCAAAGGTACGAGCGGTCCTTCGGTGAGGTCACAACCTGGTTGCTCCTTCCCGTTGTTCGGGTAGAAATCCAAGTGGCCCACGGGTTGTGACATTCCATATCCTGCCATAAACACAAAATCTGTCGCACGCGTGAAATAAACCGTTGATTAATTAGTTACCATATCACGCGATAAATATATACTCAAATATACTATACAAATGAATGATGGAATGAAAAGCTAAAAAGCGTATGGTACATATTTACAAAATAGAATACATATATACTTTATAATATATATTATATTAATAAGGGTTAGTAAAAATATGATTAGATGGTGGAGCGACAAAGCTAATTTTGTTGTTACGAACTTCATTTTATTACGTGATCAACAAATGTACATGATTCACGATAGTGCGGTGTGGATTATAAGAAGCATACGTGCAGTATCACGAACGAATGAATATACACAGAGTTACGTCCAAGGCATTACCTAAAAGGAAAATGCTCTTTCCGTCAGTGTGTATGACGTCGACGAGTTGCGCGTCACTTGGATCTAGTCGCACATGCGTCGGCATTCCTTGGAAGTAAGGTTCGGCTGGATCCAGGCCTGTAATTCTTCCTAAGCCCTACGGAACGAGAAGCTAAATCAAAGAAAATATGAAAAGAAAATACGTAACATCATATAATGCACGCTTTAGTCAATTTTGTTTTTTGGTCCTTACTTACCTGAATTCTTTCTCCTGCGTAACCTGCTGTATGGGCACCTAAGGAATGACCTATTATGTGGACATCTAATGGATTAACGCCATGTTCTTTCTGTAAATATATTTTTGTTTTTTTTTTATAAGGTATAATGTTTTTGCTTCATAACGTTGCAGTTTTTATAGTAGTTTACCTGTAAAGTATTAATGAAATGTGCTACTTCAAGTCCGACTAGCCTAGTATTGGCCGTAGCTTGAGTGTACAGCGGCAGACTGCCGCCGGCCCAGTCCACTATAACAACATTGAAGTCGCCTGCTTTCACAAGCTCATCTTTCATCTCACTGACCTAAAAACACAACACATCAAGGGGTCATTTATTGCATGTTCCATCATTTACAATGAACCGTGCCACAAAGACATGATACCTACCCAGTTAGAGAGCGGCGTGTCGATGAAACCGTGAATGATCATCTTAGTCAGTCGCTTCGGGTTGAAATTGGACTTTACTATAGTTTTGTTAACGTTCACGTTCAACAATTGTCCATCCGTTGGGTTCTTTTTTGTATATAAAATAAACCTGAAATTGAAATTTCTCTTTAGTCGTTTCATAAAAGATTGATTGACGTGAAATCTAGCTATGCTACGTTGTCGCGCAAAATTCTCCAGTGTCCGAGTCTGTTGGAGTTGGTCACTATGTAAAATCTTGTCTTAATTAATTTACAAGCATTTTATTATGTAATAGTTTCCTCATAGTATATTTGCACTTTGGAAATTCAATTCGCAAATAGTGCCAGTACAGTAGAACTACGACAAACATATAAGGAAAACATAATTTATGTTGATGGCCAGTCACAACCATGTTCGGATGAATGGGACATTGTAGATATTTTACCTCGTATTGATGACGACTCGTGGCAGTGGGAACACGTTGAAGGGCCGGTGAATGAGGTGGTACCAGCTTCTGGTGATGTTCAGACATCCTAGTTCATCATAGCATCTTGTTTCATTTTCAACTGGAAATATTTGAACAATAATAGATTAGATAGTATGACCAACCGAGCAAAGAAAAACTATTGTCACGTGGCTTCAAAATAAGGCTACACGGCGTGTAAGAAAACGGGAAGGAAAGATCTTTTATAAGTTGGTAGATTTTTTATTATTGTTTATTCTAATGCATTGTAGACTTATGTTATGATTATTTTTCTTAAGATTTTAACAATGAGTTTATTTGCAAAGAAGCTATAATAATATTTCCTATTGACAGTGTGCATATACGATCACCATATTTGAAATGATCCTTTATGTTAAGATTGTAAATATATAAAAAAAGGATGCAGTTGGACCTTTTGTAACGAGCACCGAGCTTAATTATAATATTAATATAATTAAGCTCGGTAAATAATATTAATTAATGCATAGAATCACGGATAGTTAAACTTTGACGTTTCAAAAATGCCTTTAATAGTGTTTTTTTTAAATAAGTGCATTTATTTTGTTTTTCACTTTGGCTTAATTGAAATGGTAGGTACGAGGGCACGAAGTGTGAATTCTGATGCCAATGATGATTTCGCATATTTACATAATTTATGTTGACCATAAATAAAAACACATACATGGTAACCAGGGAATGTTGACTTCGATGCGGTCTGAACGCGCCCAGTTAAAGGGGTCCAGAATGCCAGCGAATGCTGGTTGTAAACCGAGTAGAATGCACCACAGCATCACGCGAAGATGTCTGTCTGTCAAGTGAAGCCGTCGCATGCTCTGTGGATCTGCAAAATAAAAAAAATATAATTAAAATATTTTTTTTTAGAGTAAGGTCAGTATTTATTTTTTTCTTTTTTTAGAGTACGAATCTTTAAAATATGGAACACAAGTAAAGATTGATTTAGAAACGTTTTTGAGCGATACACAGGCTTCCCAAATTACTCATTCATTTGCAAAAGTATGAGAGCGCCATTGATTTTAATTGAAATACCTATCTACTTCTTCTGGACTATAGTAGGTAGGTGACTAGCCTATAGTTAGGTACAGTTAAACTGCAGAAATATTTTCTGTGTAGGTCGTACGGTATAATTATAGCTTCATTCGTGGATAATGTTATGGATACAGTATGTGATTGTTTGTACCGAGACCATCGGGGATTATAAAATAAGTGCACGATTGAGAACGATATTTACCTATCATTAAATTATTCTGTTGTGTTGCTAGCTTCAATTTAAAATGCGTGATTGTATTAATTCATTAGATATCTGTTATTTATCTTCTGGAGATATTTACATTAATATTTTGTTTGTTATTATTTCGCGTCTTAAGATATTTAATCAATCCAAATAGTTTAATTATGGTACGGTACAAAGGACTCAGAGAGTCCTTTCACGAATTTAAATCAATTTACTAAAGAATTTAAAAAAGTTAGAACCTAAGAAAAAAAAAAATAGAGACGTAAATAAAAAAAAGTTGCATAGATATATCGATTTATTTGACTGAAATCTAAGTAACTATTTTATAACAAATTTGTAATTAAGTATCAGTATTGTATCTACAAAGGCTATCTCTCCCTTTGTCCGTATTTTACAACAGAGATTATAAAACAAGTGGAAAGTTAAGTTAAATATTCAAAGTGGCCAGTGTCGTGATCCCTGTGCTAGTAATTTACAGTCATGTTCAGATCGTGGGTACTGATTGGTTCCTTTGCTGTGCCGTGGCGTGCTTCCTAGCTTCGGCCACGCGGAAGGTACACCCCCCCTTATTTCTTATGCAATGGGTAGCTGTATGAACGGTTACGATGTTATGTGTTAATACGCAAAGGATAGGATTTGTAACTGTTTTATTTATTCACATTATGTTTTAAAATCTGGCTGTTTGTTTAAAAAAAAATGATAAAGTCAGAATCGACCAAAGAGTTCGTAGATATATTTTTTTGAGAAGAGAAAATTATGCAGTGTATTTTCTCGCCTTGATTACGGCAAGAGGCAGTATCAGGCTCTTAAAGACTAAAAGCCGCCGTTCCTTCTCTTGCTTTAGACCAAGGCCGCGGTACCTTATTGTGCTTGATATCTCGAACTTCTTTAGGGGACGTGGAACGTTTTTGATAGTCAAGTTATGAATTTCATGTAAAGCCTGCCGTACGCCAATTGGTATAAGTACATCAGAAATCAAATGACTGGCCAGGTGTTACTAAGACTTAAAAAAAAAAGTTATAATAATGTAATAAGTTCGCGGTTCTGCAACAAAAGCTTGGAAATAGCACTTTATTTTTGTGAGGGAAAATGCTACTGCATGGTCTAGTAGGCTATGTAGAGCATGGTCGTTAATTTACTCAAATAATTAAATTCTTAAAATATTCCTTGTAAGATCCTAAAGGTACGTTATTCCCTTATTACTAACGGTAAATTTACGAACGAAGTAAATATTTGTAAGTACTTATTTCAAATTAATTTGAAAGAAAATATTTTTTTAATTTTTATATTTGCAGGTGCTCGCGTATTGCTTAAGTTAAGTGTTACCTGATACCTTAAACTTTCTTCACCTTTTTAATGCTTAGTAATAACAATATTTATTTAAGCACCCAAGTTTTCGAAAAAAGTTAATGTCATTAAAAAGTTAGTTAGTGAAAGGGGCGACTTTTTAATTTTTATTCTCGAGTTTTATTTTATTTGTATTTTTATTTTATTTTAAATAACAATTATATAGGGTAAGTTTTGTTTTTTTTATTGAAAATGCATTTAGAAAATAATGTTGAATTACGAATTACAAAGTTGAAAGCTTTTCCGACGCGTTCTGAAACCTTGTAACGTCAATATATGAACGTCCTATTCGTATAATTGTTTACTTACGTACTAAGGTGCTAATTTGTAAATTAATATAAAATACTGTTACATATCTTACTAACATTCTTTTAGTACATATTTTATATATTTATGTGTTTTTCTAATAACCTTTTTATGAATTTTACTTTATTATTGTGCTCTCCTGGAGTGGTTAAGATTATTAGATACATCTATCAAAAAAAACTAAACCAGAACCAAGCAGTAACAGGAATTTAATAAGTATTGTATTTATCAAATACCGACAGACAGACATCTATACTAATATTATAAAGCTGAAGAGTTTGTTTGTTTGAACGCGATAATCTCAAAAACTACTGGTTCGAATTCCGAAAAAAAAAATTTTTTTTTTGTTGAATAGATTATTTATCGAGGACGGCTATATAACATCACGCTATGATCTGTAGGAGCCGAGAAGCGGGTAAAACAGCGCGAGAGAAGCTAGTAAGTAAATATTTGCTGTTATTTGAGTGTTTATTGGCAACGAGTTTCTGCACAAAAATAGATACAGCGTGCAGAGTTAACATTTTTGGCATAGTATAAGGACAAAGGCTGTATAAATGCAATGCAACGGTTGCGTTTTGAAGCAACCTATATACATTTATCGTACAAGGTAACACACGATATTAATATAAAGGTCTATTACGAAAGTAATCGTTTTACAAATTCACTCCACGCGTCGCTGCCCGTAGCCGTAACGCTAATATGTATAAACGAGTACAATCTGAGTACATAATGATTACCAATAACAATATCATTTAATATGTTGCGAAGTTATTTTTCTGTTGTCTAGCTCCCTATGTATACATTGTTTTAACATTTTGTTGTATGTGATAGGACGGCAAACGAGTCGCCCATGGACACCCGCAACAACGGAGGAGTTACGAGTGCGTTGCCGACGTTTTGGGGATTTTGGCATTGGGGAGGGATTGGGGGAGGCGAAGGATTGGGCCACCAGTAACCTCACACGGCGAAACACAACGCTGTGGTTGTTTCACGTCGGTTTTTTGTGGGGCCGTGGTATCACTCCGATCGAGCCGACCCATTCGTGTCGAATCATAGCTCTCCCACGCTTATTTGGTATGGTTAGATGGAATGTAAGGCTGTGACATTCCTTCTCCTGCTCCAGGCTGGGGCCACTTTGCGTTATTACGCTTGCTGCAAAGGGTATGGGGTGGTTTTTAGTCAGTAAGAGTCCGACACTCCCTCTCTCCTCACTCTAGGCGAGAGAAGACATTTCTGATGTTCCCCCTCACAAACGAGTGATTTTTCAACAAAATATTAAAAAGTAGTAAACAAAAGTTAATTATTTCGGCTTCAAGTGCTATCAAATATATATTTTTGTATATTCATTTTATCGTAACTTTTTTGGGGATGGAGCTAAATGTTGTACTAACTATTTAGATTGGTTATTTTAAAAGATGAGAGTCGTTTGTTTAATTTAAACAAAATTGAATCTTACATCAAGTGAGTAAAATTGTTTTTTTAATCGACAGGAAATGTCTACTTATATAGATAACTGATTAAGTATTAAACAACGTGAGTAAGTACATTGTAATTGTATAATCCAAATAAGTTTGTGATATAATTTGATGGGACATTTCACTTTCTCTCATCATTAGAACAAGAATTGGTACTGATTGCATCGCAAGATAAACATAACCGGAAGACTACCGGCAACTCATCAAATCGTTCGATGAAAAAAACCGATCCATCGAGTTACAAATAAAATAAGGCACTTCCAGAGCGACGCGGGCGCCGAGCCGCGCGGAAGTACTACCGCACCGGTGATGCAATGCAGCGCGAACGCATTGTACCTTAACCTGCTAACTCTGATATAACTTAATGTCAGTGTGCTCGACTTATGCCAACTTTATGTAAGCCAAGAAAGGCATCTTCCAAACGCACGACAACTGTAACATATTGTCTCATCATCAATCATGTTTACTACGACCAAGTCGTAAATTTGTTTTATTTGAAGTTTGTATTATCAAGCAATTGATATATAACCATATACAAATAAACTTCAATAATATCGCGCCCTCATGTAATGTTTTGATTGTATAACATTTTTGCAATTGTCAATGCCTACATTACATAGTATACAAATATCGGACGGCGACCTTCTTCTGCACTCGGCGTCTTGTTGACCTACATTTGGTTGTTGTGGTCAACGTAGGTTTAACGAAGCGAATGCAACACCCATAACCGTCAGTTTTAAAACTTTTAACATTATGACATTTTCGAAGATAAATTATTGTTCACATTTCGTAGAAATAGGAACTCGTGCGTAAAACTTGCGTTAACTTACGCACTTGTTTTTTTAAAGTGTTGCAAATCGCAATGTTTATTTCTTGTAGACTATTGGTTTATTACCTAAGTAACAGTATTTGTTTATGTAGCAAAGATAATCTTTGTATACAAACATGGCATAATCTAGGAAATACGTACGTAACACTTGATTGATCTTCGATCTGTTCATTATACGGACGGTTGCAACAGATGTTACACTTCGGTGTTACACCGTCTTGCAATTATTTTGCTTGTTATTGCGAATTGCGCTTTCGAGAAGACGATTGGGACAGAGTGTGGGACGTGAGCACACTATATTAGTTCTCATATCGTTCACTTGTTACGCCTGTGGCTGCTTATTTAGGGCACGAAACAACTCAACGCGGTAACATTTGGTTTGCATATCGAATTCCTCGCTTACATTTAAACTCATATCTGCACAATTATAACCGTCGTAAAACTGGTTTGGCAAGTTCCACAATGATAAACTGAAATGGTTAATAATGGAGTATTTTTCTGTACTCATGAGATGGTACTGAGGTAATTGATTTTAATTGAATGGTGATTTGCGCATTTAGTGGTACAATTAGCATATCCTCGGGAAATGAATGATTGTCGCCTTAATAGATAGTGGAGCCACCTGTGATTAA